ACACACACACACACACACACACACACACACACACACACACACACACAGAGAGAGCGCGAGAGAGCTCTGAACATTGTGTTTGGCTCTGGAGCTTCTTGAATTGTAATTGTCTGAAGCATTTCGACAACCAAACGGGTCGTATGTGTGGTTTAATGGAGGTTAAAAGAGTGGGGGAGCCATAGTTTCAGCAACAGATCGAGACGAAATATTTTAATCTATGGGGGGATGTGCCAGCCACACAACTATGTTTGTGGGTGTGCTTGCACAGGGCAGATGAATGTTGTGAATGTTATCTCAATGGGGGGTAAACCTCATCCATGTGACTTACATATCCCATTTGAGCAGCAGGATTATATCATCAAAAACTCTTGCAAAGCCTGCTAAATCACACTGACGAATCAGACAATATGTCCTTCATGCATTGGAAAATGGGAAGCCACAACATGTGTGTTTCTCGATTTAGACTCATTTCTTTTAGTTATGATTAGAAACTCATTTTCTGAGCTGTCATACTGTGATTTCAGAAGATAACACTATTCACATCATTTCTGGTAGCTAATTTGAACCAATCTGCTCCAGTTTGTCAGATCAAATTAAATGATAAATGAAAATGTGAAATAGCTGTTCGTCTTATACCTCCTGTGAGCGTGGCCATGCAATGTTATTTTTTTTTAAGGGTAGATGGATGCTTCAGTCGGTGGATGATACAGTGGATTTATCTGTTTTTTTGCCTACTGGGCTAGAAGAGCACATTTTTCGGTAGCATAATAACCCAGTGGCCTTAATCCTGCTCCATAACCAAGGGGGGAGATTCCACTGCTGCTCACCCACCCGTCATACCTCCCTTTTGGCCACCAGATCAGCTTACATGGGTCTGAGCTGCAACAAGGCACAGAAAGATGACACGTTTTCACCAATCATTTGTGAATCTGACATCATAAATGATGGCTCTGAGGCGGTATTTGTTATTAAAAGTAATAAGAAATAAAGGTTTTATAAAGAAGCTATGTGCTCCTCAAATCTGTCTGCCACGACACAGAATCGGAACAGAGGCGGGAATCGTAGTAGCGTGAGAGGCCAATGTCCACCCTCGGCCAAGTTGAAACCATTCATGGGTGCTTTGGCATCAGGTAGCTGGAGGCGTGGGAGCCTGAGCGTGCCCTTGATGACACTCGCACATTAAGCCACGCAGAACCAGCCCCCAGTGGGACTTTTAGACTTCAGCCATGCCCTGCTAGGTCTGCAGTGTCTGCCTGTATCTGCCTCTGAGGGGGGAAGAATCTGATGTTATCTGGCACTTCTGTGTTATACAGTACATGTGTGTCACACACTTGGTCAACCACAACACAGCCTGTAATAAGCCCCCAAGCCGTGACTTGGCATGCATGCTGATTGCTAAGCAAATGTCCCACAGACTTCGTGCTTGAATCACTTGGAGCTGCACAGTACAGCGTTTGTGACAGAGCTTCCATCGGTAGCATTTCCTAACTTGTGAATTTAGATATTTAATGACAAATTAATCATCCTGTGTAATCATTGTATACTGCATTACAACATAAATTCATTTGTACAGACATTTGTCTGTGGTTCCAGCTTTTAGGAGGATGGGGGGGAAGAGTGTAAGGAAAGACACTATAAAACTGAAAACGAGAATGAAATTAAGTATATTTTTGGAGTTAAATGCATTTCTTGAGAGACTTTGTGAGGAAATGGTAGCTCTATGAAATCCTTAATATAGACGGCTCAAAACAGTTCCCCTCATTGTCTTGTTCAGCATACCCGACATACCATAAACTGTACATACAGTATACGACACAATGAGCAAGAGCCAACGAACCACTGCAGTAGCTCTGTTTCAGCAGAGATAGTTTCTTGTGCTGAAGTCTAGACTGCACACATTCCATAACTGCATGTCTTTTGTCTCCACATTTGATGTGTGTGTGGTTGTTAGTCTGTCTCTCCCTTTCCGGCCTTGTGTCTGTAGTTCTTTTGTTCGACATAGGGATACATCTGTTCTCTGTCTTTGTCCATTTCTCATTGTAGGCTTGTAGCTTTTGTATATTTGTTGTCATAACTCTCCCACATGTTTTTTTTTTTTTTTTTTTCCATCTTTCACATATCTGCTTTGTAGCACTGCCATATGAAGATTTAGTTTTACCTTTCAAGTTAGCATTGGGACATTGGTCCTTGATCACACCTCCTTGTCTGCCAATAGGAAGTCTTAGATGTGTTCTCCCTGCCGGTTGATGCTGATATATCTCACAGCTCCTCACAGACAGCCCCTCTCTGTTCTGCAGCGTGGTGGGCCCGACTAGAGGACGGGGCCCTGCTGCAGTCTTTGTCTGCTCTGATTGAGACCCAGTCGCAGTGGTTGTCAGTGACCCAGATTCAGATTCAGGGTATGAACCCAAACGAGGCCCTCTTCTGTTTGTACTCCTCTCTCTCTCTTTCTCTTTCTGTCCCTCATCATAATGAGCTTGAGCACAGTTAATGACCTTTTAGTATCGTCCTCAAAGCAAATCTGTTCATAATTTATTTCCTTAATTTGTTCAATTTATAACATGAACATAAAAGTGCTGAAGAATATTTTCATGTGGGTGTTGTCGTGCAGCTCCCCAGGCATGCTATTGATGGTGACTCAGCTCAGTTTGTGTGAGACACTCTGGTGCATTGTTTCAGTCCTGCCCTGTATTGCTTACTGTGTGAAGGTGATGTCCACCTCTGTCCCTGTGCCAGGAGACGCCTGCAGGAGGGTTCTGCTGACTGTTGAAGGACAGGACTGTTGCAGATGTAGAAGCACTAGGGGGGCGTATACTGTATGTTGTACAGCCATCATACTGCAACATGCATTATGATGGCTGTAACATTTGTCTGGATCTGTTATATTATTGTTGTAGATTTCCAGCATTGGGGAATTCCCTCTCCAGTTAAGAGAATAATCCTACATTATATATATATATTATATATTATATATATTATATATATATATATTATATATATTATATATATAACCCTTTTGTCCTTGGTTCCGGCAGCTGCATATGCTGAGTGCGGCTTCCCCAACCTGGCCTCCCTGTTAAGTCCACAGGCATAAGAGCTATTTACTCAACAGAGTCAGTGGGACATTGAATCCTAAATCTCTTCCCTTCCTCATGGCCCTCTGGCCCAATTATGAACCCAATCACAGCAGCACCTACCACCAGGAAACGCCACTGTGTGGAAGTGAATGAATGAGTGCATAAATGAGGGAAGAAGTGAATGTGGAAGTCCCACCCGGAATTTGGTTTAAATGCACACATTTCAGTTCAGAAAAAGCTTGTTTGTGTTGGCACGAACAATGGGAAGTTTCCTACTGTGAGAAGTGCAGCTACATCTGAGCGAGAACATGGTATGACTGTTAAATTGTATCAATCCTAACATTTCTTCTCTCTTGTCTTTCCTTCTGGTTCACCCGTGGGTTTCTTCTGTTTATGATGGATTGCCCCTCTCATTCAACAGGAAACAATCTAAGGTATGTAAGTTTCATCTCTTTCTGTTCCTACAAAAACAACTGGCCAGCATCAACAGAGCTGACCGTGTCAGCAGAAACGGTCATCTGTCTTGGCTTCTCAGTGACTGTCCTGGTATCACAGACACTGAAATCATCCAGAAGCAGGATGCTGCACAACACTGTTCCGCTGAGTGGATGAGAAGCATCCTGCACAGGTCGATCTACTGTTGTGGCGGCGTTTCTAGGGATTGAGAGTGATTTAGTAGTTTGGTAGGCCAGCAGGAGCCGGATAGATGTCCGTGTGAATGTGTCAGCACTCTAAGATCTCGTGAACACCCACAAAGGCTCTACAATGAGAGAGGGATGAGCGCGGACACTGGGGCAGTGTGTGTGCGCATTCAAAGCTGCATTGTTGGAGTGCACCCCCACCTCCCCCCTTGACAACACGCTGGTGACTGGCTCAGAGATGTTTCACACACCAGGGACGGGCTTTGTGGTCAGTGCACTCGGCCGCTGACGGGACCGGGGGAGCGTTAGCGCGGGCAACAAGCGTGCGCGGTCTCTGGAGCCCGTGAACCTGAGTTACCCTGTAATACCCTTCAACTAGACGAGCACGTGGCTGTCTGCTAAGTTATGGTGGCACTCAAATTAGTCTCCCTGCGTTCTGAAGGGTAAACGGGGGGTTGCATTCCAATCACGTTTGACCAGTTTTCATCCCAGAAATGACAAAAAGGGCATTGTGTTTCTCAGCTCCATCATTATTTGTACTGCTGATTAATAGTAATTGTCCAATCATGAACAATTTGTTGCGCAGTCACACCCTCAGGCTGGCCAGGGACAGACCAGAGGAGATTGAAGCCTGAGTTACCAAACCAGCCCTAATTGGGAATGATGGCACTTTTGTTCCTTTGAATGGCACCCACTCACTTGTCTGAAGTCACAAGAGGAGGTCTTGCTTTCAAAGCATTCAGTGATCTCAGTGCTTCCCATGCTGACGGTGCATCCAGTGGTTCCCTGGCCAAGCGCCCCTATTATGATTAGAGGGGAGTTCAATTATTTGGGTTATTTGTGTCGGGGAAAGTAGCAGCAATAGTGCACTGAAAGCCAGAAGTAGCAACGTGCAGCAGCGATGTGCTTGCACTGCAGGATGACGGTGCTGCATCAATGGTACATAAAAGCCTGTTACCTAGTTGAGTGTGGGCTTTGGGAAGTTATACATCTCCTATCAACAAAAGCTGTGTTTTGAATAAGCTGAAACAAAATCTATATGAGACGTTTCTATACTAACTAATTGAAGCTGCTCAAAAGAGACATTTAAGATGCGTGGGGGGGGGGGGGTTGCAGCTTATACAGTAACAGGAGCTGTTCTGTCTGTGAGGAGTACGGGTTCTTAGTCAATGAGGCCACTGCTCTTTCCCAGAGAGCATCCTCTCTGTGTGTCATCCATCCAGAGCTCCTACAGGTGCCTGGGGGGGACACAAGGGGTCTCTGCTGCTGAAGCCTGTGTTGTGAAACCCGGCACTGAGGGCTGAGAGCCAGCCTGCACCACCGGGAACGGCTACAGCCCCGTTTCCTTGGAGACGAGGGTCACCGGGTGCTGGAATTTCTTCTGGGGGAGCGCTGACCCTGATTTATGAATTCATTTAAATCCTATGACAGAACTTGGGGCAGCTAACAGTGGATTTGTGCGGACAGTCATGGTGCGGTCTTAACGAGCATTACCCCGAACAATACTAGGTTAGACTTCATCTTACTCACTCAGACAAGCTCAGTCTTACTGATTTACTGCAGGGTGGCATGGTACGGCACAAAAAAAGCCTGTTTTTTTTGTACCACAGAAGATGTAAGACCACTACTAAGAAAGATCGGGTTGTGTTGTACTGTACATGCCTAGACAAGTGTCAGGAGTTGTGTGTTTACACTCTTTGTGCTGACTCTTCTGCAGGTGTTCGCCTTTGACCACTGTTTCTGGTCCATAGACGAGTCCAACGTTCCCAAATATGCTGGTGAGTCATATGAAACTGATCCTTCACTCATCACCAAAGAACTCAAATCACGTCCCATGTAAAGACTGCTGAGCTTTGTGCAGCAATAGTGCAGGGAAACTCCCAACTTGATAGAAAGCTGTTTTTGCATAATGCAAAGTACGGTAATTTGCATTTTGAGAGAACACGTTAAAGTACGTAATGCAGTTAGTTGTCTTTGTATTGTCTCAAAACAATAAAAACCTCATGGGGTTTGTACAATACATACTAACATTTTGGAAATGTGTATTTTTATTATTAATACAATACAATACATTTCCTTTTGTGCTTGCAGTATGTAATGATCTACCATTCATTTCTCTAATGAGAGCTGCACAGAAAACATTACAGTTTTTTAAACATCTATAGAAAAGAGGTTATTACTGCCAGTCTAAGGAAGATTTCCGTAGTTATTGTTCATATTTATTTTTGTTTTCATATCACGCTCATTTTGTGATGGAAATGTAACACTTGCATCTGCTTTGTGCTGAACCGACAGGGCAATCTGTTCAGTGAAGGGCTGCCTCAAGGGCCCGGGCCAAGGCTTTATTTAGCTCTTTAAACAGCTGTCCCATTCAGCAGGAGCATGATAGGAGCAACACGCGAGATTTCTCTGCACAGCTCGGCATTTTCCACACGACTTTAATTCATTCTTATTCTTCCTTGTTTCGTGTCCCTTGTTGATACATATCTCTGTTTTAATGTTATTGCACTAATGTAAGGATGCAAACCAGGCAACTAGTAGTACTTGTATAACTGAATGGTTTACCAAAATCTCCATGGCGATTCTTTGTCTAAAAGGTCAAGAGGTGGTGTTCAAGTGCCTTGGAGAGGGAATACTTGAAAATGCATTCCAGGGATATAATGCCTGCATATTTGCCTATGGACAAACAGGTAACTGAAAATCCAGATTCAATTTACACTGAGTCCATTTTGTCATGCAGTCTTTGAAGCATTTATAAATAATGTGTTCCCTCCGTTATACTTGAGTCTCTAAGTATATGTGCAGGTTGAGTTGTCTCCAGATGTGTCCATAGAAAGTTTAAAGAACAGGAAGACTTGTGTTTCTAAATGCCCTGGTGAATCACTTAACTCGTATCCTTTCTTCACCCTGGATCAAATTAGCTCCTTTATCCCACTTCCTGTCTTCGAGTGAATCACTCGGTAAAGAGAAAAAAGCTAGGAGAGAAGAGCGCAAATATTTCAGTGGCCCTCCAATCACCTGGTGTATGAGAAAAAAAAGTTGTCTGCAAGCAGCACATTAGTCGTGATGGGAACCAGAGAAGCACATGAAGCATTTGATCTTGGGATGGCAATGTTGGCCGGTTGGTCTGCCATTTTGATCCAGGCTGAAATATCTCAACATCTACTGCATGAATTACCACAACATGTTGTACAGTCATCATGGTTCCCAGAGGATGAGTCCTGATGAATTTGGTCATCATCTGACTTGTACTTTGGTGCCACCATAATGTTGACATTTGTGTACTTTTTAGTTCATGTCTTGACAACTACTTGATGGATTGCCATTAAAACTTTAGTGATCCCTTAACTTTTCATTCTAGCACCATCATCAGGTCAAAACTTTGTTTTATGACCAAATACCTGCAAAATAAATGATATTTCCATCAACCTCAGATGAACTTTGTGTTTAGAGCTAATTAGCAAATATAATCAAAGACGGTGATTATGATATCCAATATCCTTGCTAAACAACCAGCATGTTAACATCGCCATTGTGAGATTGTTAGCATGCTGAATTTAGCATTGAGCTACTGTTGTGCCTAAGTACATTTTCACAGAACCGCTAGCATGGTTGTGAACTTTTTATATTGTTTTGACATGTGGAACAGAGAGACTTATGATACAATCAGGGGGCCCGTTTTTCTGCAGATGGGCTCAAAAAGAAATTCTGTTTGTGTGGTTATAGGAGACTCAAATTAACTTTTACTGTATCGAAAGCACTGTATTGTATGAGCCTCTCGCTGTCGTGGATGCAGTCATGTGTGACTTTGTGATGTCCATCCAGGTTCAGGCAAGTCCTTTTCCATGATGGGGAATGGGGAGCAGCCGGGTTTAATCCCTCGACTCTGCTGCTCGCTGTTTGAGAGGATCCACAGAGAGGAGAACGAGGGCCATTCTTTTAAGGTGGAGGTGTCCTATATGGAGATCTACAATGAGAAGGTCCGTGACCTGCTCGATCCCAAGGGGTGAGTCTGATGGGTGTGCTCTTTCTTCAGAATAAGCACGTGATACCTGTACAACCTCGCTGAATGTAATGCTTTTGACCCGGGGTGACACAGAAAAAGCTGGTTACACAAACTGTGTTGACATTTTCTCATAGTCTTGATTCACTCCAACTCCAGCACAAGTTGTGACCTCTCTGCCAGCTCCCACTTTGTGTTAGTTTGCATCTCTGTTTATAGCTCTGTTGTGTCTAGTAGCCTGACTCGGGGACGGCGACAGAACGATGCGAGTAGGAAGCTCAACCCAGTCATTTCCTGCAGAACAGTGGCCAGCATCGTCCTCTCACACTGCTGCATTCTTCGCCTGCGTGGTCCGATGTGGGTTGGCAGACAGACTGCAAGGGAGAGCGAACAGTGAAAGAGTGGGTTTCAGGGACATCTGCTAGTGAAGCTGGGAGTAGGAGAGCAGTCAGAGCAGCTTGTGAGCCGAGCCCCAGAGAGGGACAACAGGGGAGTACTCTGTGTGCTGCAGATGTCTGAAGTTGAAGCCAGAGCCATTTCGATGGCAACTTCCTCTTGCTTATACAACAAGCCTCACACTCTCTTGCTCTTCTATCTGCCTCTGTGATTTTTAGGTCTAAACGTTGGCTCTGGTATAGACACGAGATACGGAGTCAAGTGTAAAAAGGATCACACTACGAGTTGGCCATGGTCTTTTACATCCTCTTGTTTGCTGTGGGTGGTAGATTACCGGAGTGGAAGCAGGGAACCTGATTTCTGCCAGCCTCGGTCGTTCTGTTGCCAGGATTCAGTGATTCATACTGATCTGTAGGATTTCCTCAACACATGTCAGGCAGCCAGATGAGTTTCACTTTACCCACCTGAAAAAACTTGTATGTTCCTTCATTATGATGAACACTGTAGATAATGCGGAGTCAATCCCACACACACTGTCCTAGTGCCCTGAATATACATTAGAGTTACCAAATCGCAGCTGAAAATAGTCACCAAGAAATGCACTTTACTGCTGTTTAATGGCATCTCAGCTGTTTGAGAATGTCTTTTTTTTTTTTTGAATTTGAATGTTTTTAAAGATGGAGTCAGTGGGGACTTGGGGCTGAGAGCCAAAGGAAGGCTGGGGAAGTGAGAGAGTATTTGGAGATGGAGTAACACATCATTTTTGTTGTCTTTAAGAAGACTTGCTGACAATAAAGAAGGACCTGCCTTGCCCTTTAAGAAATTCAGAAACTTTTTATGTGAATTTTTTCATGTGTCGACTTGGCATCAAACTCCTGTTAACATTTTATTGCAGTTGTGGTGCATAAAAAGAGATCATTTTTTCAATATTGCAATAACATGCAGGCCATTCCATTTCCTCAAGTAGTGAATAATAAAAAATGCAACTTTTTAACATGTAAAATCCCACCAGAAATATTTATATAAAGCTATTGAAGTCATTCTGAAATGCCATTTTTATGGAAGGTTAAATAACTCGAGAGCTTCTCAAAACCCTGAAGGATTCATTTAAATTTTCATTCATTCTGATCAAGGTCAGAGAGAATTTGTTGAGCTGAGAAGTGTTTCATGAAAAGTACTTCATGAAGAGAGGAATGTCCAATCAAATGTGCATTATAAAACCCTGTTGAACATGTTCTTCATTCTTCTTTTTTTTGCACACATTTCCTGAATTGGAGATGGTTATTATTCCTCCCTTTTTCTCCTCTCTCTTTCACTCATTTTGTTGCTTTCCCTCGTTTTTATCTTTTGAAGGGGCCGACAGTCCCTGAAAGTTCGGGAACACAAAGTCTTGGGTCCATACGTGGATGGTCTGTCTCAACTGGCTGTGACCAACTTTGAGGTGCGTCTTTCCCCTTCCTGTCATCACACTTCGGCTGAGCCGAATCCGTATCAACAACCACAGGCCTCATATGTCACTTACGCACATACATGATTTATAGTATCCAGCAGAATTACCTTATATCATATCCCCGGTTGTCAAGTCGCTAATTTACGTTCGGAACAACCATTTAGTTTCACATCCTCCCATGTGCAGAAACTGTATTGACACATATTCCTGATGTGGGATGTAGTCATGGGGTTTTGGGTAGTTTATATGCCAAACCTTGGCAGGGCCTTCCTTAATTAAGTTTAAACATCTCCACCCTGTTCCTCTGTGCTCTGCTCTGCCTGATATTCCTGCAGTGGTTTTCCCACAGCCGTGGCCCACTGTCTACTGTGACCCAGCTAAACCACATGGCACACAGCCATATGTGAATACCGTCTGACTTTACTGTTATCATAATGATCAATGTGCAAGTTTTACCTAAATCCGGTGAAATGTGTTCAAATTGTGTCTTTATGTCAAACTCTTGTCAAACGTTTTGTCTTTAATTCCCTCACTCTCCATCTTTTTAGGACATTGAGGTGTTAATGTCAGAGGGCAACAAATCTCGCACAGTTGCAGCCACCAACATGAATGAGGAGAGCAGTCGATCACATGGCGTGTTCAGTATCATTGTCACACAAACGCTTTACGATCTACAGTCTGGGGTCAGTATTTCCACCAACATTCACAATTAATTGTTCCTTGAATTTACTGCATTATATTACCTCATTTGTGTGTGTCCTATTTGTCTTATCATGGGTCTGACTGACTATTTGTTTGTGTTGTGATGGTAAACAGAATTCAGGAGAGAAGGTGAGCAAGATGAGTCTGGTTGACCTGGCAGGAAGTGAGCGAGTGTCTAAGACTGGAGCTGCTGGAGAGAGACTCAAAGAGGGCAGCAATATTAACAAGTAAGTCTATTTTTTCCATATGAAAGGCAAGCAAAATATGAATTCATCATTTGACAGGTTAAAGCTGATTGTGTGTGTGTGTGTGTGGTTGTAGGTCTCTCACTACGTTAGGCTGTGTGATTTCTGCTCTGGCTGATCAGTCTGCAGGAAAGGGGAAGGCCAAGTTTGTGCCATACAGAGACTCAGTGCTCACCTGGCTGCTGAAGGTTTGACCCACAAATTACACAAATTTAAAACTGGTTGTTAGAAATGTTATGAGGTTGTTCTAGATGTGCTGATGATACCACACTAGAAAATAAAAGATACTTTATTACGAGTAAATGTCCTGCATTCAAAATAATACAAAAAAGTATTATCAGCAAAATGTACTTTAAGTATCAAAAGTATTCATTTATTTAATTGCAATTGTTTGTTTTTAATTAATGAAAAATAAACATCTCTAGAAAGGAATTTGTATAACTTGAAACAAGAAATAAGGCAGTTTGCTTCACTAGAACTATGAAAGATTAAATTTAGAAAGTATAATCAAGTTCATTTGCAGATTTTGACACTTTTAAAAATATAAATGACAGTGAAATGTACAATAGTGTAGCGTAGCAGACATATAATGTAGAAAAAAATTTAAATACTTGCATAAAGTAAAAATACCTCAAAATTGAGTAAATGCACTTAATTAATTAAGTTCATTTCCACCACTACTGCAAGGTGACCAACAATTACCACTTTGTTGCACAGTTGTCCTTTGTTGTTGCAATATTTGCATTTCGACATTTATCAGCTATGCTTCCTTGCTAAATGTTTTCTTGTCTTCAGGACAACCTTGGCGGCAACAGCAAGACGGCCATGATAGCCACAGTGAGTCCGGCAGCCGATAACTACGAGGAGACTCTTTCCACGCTACGCTATGCAGATAGAGCCAAGAGAATCGTCAACCATGCCGTGGTGAACGAGGATCCCAACGCTCGGATCATCAGAGAGCTCAGGGACGAGGTGGAGAAGCTCAAAGTTCAACTCTCTCAGGCTGAGGTAAGAGGAGGGATTGGGTAGACCTGAAGAGACTCACCAATGATGTGAATGAATTCATGCCAGACTTGTCATAAATCACACGATAATCCAGATGATGCTGATGTTCATGCTTCTTTCCCTTATTCCCATCAGTCATTGAAGGCTCCTGATCTGAAGGAGAAACTGCACGAGTCTGAGAAACTCATTCAGGAGATGACCGTCACCTGGGAGCAGAAACTAAGAAAGACAGAGGAGATTGCCACTGTATGCACAACCACCGTAAACAGACTCCAAAACCTCAGTTCTAATTCCTATTTATACGTACAGCAACACTGTTATTATCCATATTTACAGGAACGCCAGAAGCAGCTAGAGAGCATGGGCATCTCTCTGGAAACATCAGGGATTAAAGTGGGTGAAGACAAGTGTTTCCTGGTTAATCTCAATGCTGATCCTGCCCTAAATGAGCTACTGGTCTACTATCTGAAGGTAATGCAGTTTTTACAATGTGATGATGCAATTCTGGAAAGATAACTACTAGTTAATATTACACAGTACTCGCTACCATCGTCACCCTGCTGCCTTGTATGTTTTTCCATTAGCACTTATGTATTTATACTTATTTGTGGGACTACAAAGTCCCAGGTAGCGCACTGGAATTTTAAAATGAGGAATTTTCGAGTGTATTTTTACCAGTCTGCATTTAATTTAAGTGGTTCTATTAACGCCTGAACCTGCATCTGTTCCCCTTTAGTTTCAACCTAAGGAGCTTTAAAAAAAAAAGATAAATGGCCAACCCAAAGATGCAGACCCATTTTTAATGGCACCACTACTGCTTAGATTTGTAGACAATTGTTTAGGTGAAAGCCATGAATGGATGGAAGAACTTTGTGACATGTCGCCATGTTGTTCATGGCAAACGCTGTAGGTTTTTGGTTTAAAGTGGCTGGAGAAGTTAGAAAATCCAAAACGCCTCGTAACGGCTAAAGTTTGTACAGAGGCCAGAAAGTTCTCATTTTAGCAGTTAGTCGCTGCCAAAAAGCTGGTTAGTCACTTACTTCTTTCCTTCCCTGGTGTTACAGCATATAGTTAACACCACCGATCCATTACCTTGGTAATATTTACCGTAGACTGAGGCCCTGAAACACAGCACATATGGCGCAGTGATCCAGATGACGCTGTGAGAGCAGAGATTCGTTCAGTAAGAGCACGTCTGGACTTTGCAAAGCAATGAAGTGGAACAACCAACCAGCTATTTGGACCTGTAAGAGCAGAAGCATGTGAGAAAGCAGCCCGTACAGAGTACAGAACAACAGGCCTTTGTCTGGGTTCTACAGGCCAGCCTGGCATATCGGTGTGGAATGACCATGGTACTGTGAAATGGGTTAGTGCGCTGCATGGTAGGACATCCTCTAGTAGCTGGGATGTTTGTTTAACAACACCCACTCTCCAAAGAGAGAGACACAAGTTTTTTCACTTGATTTTGCGTTGGTTTTATTCTTGAATTTGAGGTTGTTGTTTTTTTTGCAAATGACAAAACTCTTGAGCAAATTGGTTCAGCGAACAACATTTTGTAGGTTATGACCTGAGAGTTGGAACAAGATGCTGGTCGTAATTATTTTCAGATCTGTCATTATAGTTTTCTCAATCTGTCCTCCACCTGTGTGTAGGAGCACACGCGTGTGGGCGCAGACACGTCTCAGGACATCCAGCTCTTTGGGATCGGTATCCAGCCGGAGCACTGCGTCCTGGAGCTCTGCCCAGATGATGATGTCACCCTGATGCCCATAAGGAATGCCAGGTGAGCTGATATGCAACTACCTCCAACACACTCTCCATCTTTCCCTGTGTGTCTCTCTCGCTGTTGTCTCTCTCCTTCATGGATGACTGGACCTCAGTGTTTCACATGACCTCACTGTACAGGAATCTATGATCTGAGCTCCTCGCTTTGATATCAGAGCCACGTCTCCCTCCCACTACAAAAGGATTGTTCCTGCTTAATTAGTTTTCCCTGTTCAAAGATTATAATGCCACCTGACATCTTCATTATCAGAACTTCATTTCTCTTGTTTTCTACAGGACCTGTGTGAACGGATCAATGATTGATTCTTTGGTGCACCTGTGGCATGGGGATCGTATTTTATGGGGCAACAATCACTTCTTCAGGTATAAAACGTGTCACGGCCACATTCAAATATATTTGAATATACGTGACAAATGTACTGTATATAGTCATAAAATGAAAACGTCACTGATTGGAAGTCCTGTTGCTCTGTAGGATTAATCTGCCAACACGAAAGCGGCGGGACCGTTTAAAGGAGCTGGAGAGAGCTTCCCCCAGAGAGAGCTTTGTCGAGGCAGATGTGGAGACCGCCAGCGAGGCGTCTTCTGAGCAGGACTACAGCTATGAGTTTGCTCAGATGGAGGTCACAATGAAGACTCTGGGGAACAATGGTATGATTAGGATAATCTGTTTTTGCTTTAGGGTCACAGCTGTATACAGTATTTATTCCACTTAGGTTTCTGGACCTTCAGCTTGTTGCAATACTCTGACCAAATATCATCTTTTAGAAATGCCATCACTCTGTTCTGTTTATCTCCTTATTTTAAATATAAAAAAAGATCAGCTCGAGTGTTAAATACAATACAGCTGACCAGTTTGTCAGCTGATTGTTGCAGTCTGGGTGGACCTGGCTCAAAATAATGGTTGTATTCATTAACAATTCATCTTTTGATTAGGTTTTTGATTACACAATAATGTATAAGATAATTAGTCTTAAAATGGTGAGAATTTGACATCACAATTTCTTTGAGCCAAAGTTGACATCTTCAAATTGCTTTATCTACAATGATATGAAACGGAAAGAAGCAGCAAACCTTCACAATCCAGAGGACAGAGTCACCAAATATTTGGCATTTTGATAAAATACTAAAATCAAAAATCAAAATAATGAAAACATCAAAGTTCTTGACTTTTTTTTGTCAATCTCCAATCTATTGACTAAATGATTGTTCAAACAATTAATTCAGTGATACTATTTTTTTTTTTTAAAGCCGACAACACACATGACAATAAGAATTTACTATGAAGACCATAGCTTGTTGTGGAAAAAGAATAATAATGTAATAACTTTATTTGTTATCAGCTGTGGGTGGTTGTTTTTGGTCCTGTTCCTTTACTGAAGAGGCTTTGCTCAGTGCTGATCATGTCTCGTGTTTTTAGACCCCATGCAGAATGTGGTCCAGGTGCTGGAGAAGCAGTACCTGGAGGAGAAGCGTACGGCTCTGGAGGAGCAGAGAGTGATGTACGAACGAGAGCTGGAGTCGCTACGGCAGCAGCTGTCTCCTGAGAAAACGCCGCAACACCACCGCAGCAGCAGCGAGCGCCTAGCCTTCCCGATGCACACGCCACACGGCAAGCTGCGACTGTGGACGGAGGAGCGGTTAGTGGAATCTAGTTTGTTCACGGCAGGGAGGTTGAGATGTGTAGTCATTGTGCTTGTTTTTTTTCCCTTTTTACAGTCGCATTTGATGTTCATAGTATTCGGCTTTTTAGATGTACCTAGTTATATGAATATGTAGAAGCCAATAACGTTTTTAAGTCATTGAGTCATTTAAGTGTTGGAATTGTCTCATTCTGATTTTTTACAATGTCGACTCAGTCTGAGTCAGTCAGTTGCTTCAGTGTCAGTTGCCATCAGTGAGGCATCCTCACCTTAAAAGATGCTATCTGGAAGGAAATAAAGTTACTTGTCATCTTCCTGTAATAATCCTGAGCTGTTTTTTAGGTGCTGCTAAAAGTATCATTTGAAAAATGGTGAAGTGAATAAATGTAGAATTGTGAATTTGTAAAATTTGTTTACAACAACACCAAAACCGTTCTGACACATTGACAGCATATCAGCATGTTGTTGGTTTCAGTCTCATCATTGTGATAGCTAGTTAGCTTTAGCCATCATCCTTGCCGGTGACAACCGTTTCAGGTTGTCTGTACGTACATACATACCTACGGTCCATAGGAATGCCTGCAGGGAATTCCTTCAAATTTGGCATTTTGGACAGACATGGACTACAACTTGACTGGTTCACAGATGTATACTTCTTTGAGGCAGTAATTCTAGTTCCTGATGTTGTTCTTGTCTTTTTATTTTGCCGTTCTTGGTAAACTCTAGCAACTGTGGTTTGATAGCCAAATCTGAGATTTAACTTAAACATCACGCTTCAAGTCGTAGTTCAGTCAATCAGTAACTTCCTTCTCAGCTCTGTGTATTTTTTTACGCCAGCTGTTCCTGTAAATGAGGATGTTGTGTCTATTTAAGTCCATACCGAGTACACAACAAGTGGCAGGTTGTCATCTTCATGAATGAATGATCTCTGTGTTCTGCTGTCTGTGTGTGTTTGTGTGTCAGGGATGAGCTTTTTCGTCAGAGTCTTTCTCGACTCAGGGAGCAGGTCGTGAAAGCCAACACCTTGGTGCGAGAAGCCAACTTTTTGGGAGAGGAGATGAACAAACTGACTGACTATCAGGTCACCCTTCAGATTCCTGCGGCCAACCTCAGCGCCAACCGCAAGGTCAGACCTATGAACCTCCTGCAATCACACACCACCTCCATATCACCTCACCTTGGTACACATTTCATTATGTCACGGTGAGAATATCTGCTGAAATACAAAAAGTGTTTTAATCTGTTCACCTGTTTCTTTATAGCGTGGAGCAATAGTGAGCGAGCCGGCCATTCAGGTGCGGAGAAAAGGAAAGGGGACCCAGGTGTGGACCATTGAGAGGCTAGAAAACAAACTGGTGGATATGAGAGACCACTACAGGGACTGGAAGGAAGGCACAGAGGAGATGGTAAGAAACAGAGGATCAGAAAACGGGAAGATAGTAGAAAAGATAGAAAGATGAACTGGATTATTCAGGTCTTTCTCTGTGTTTTTTCAGTATAACAAGGCAAACAGTAAGCACAGTGATCCATTCTATGAGGCGCAAGAGAACCATAACCTGATAGGAGTGGCCAACATTTTTCTGGAGTGCCTTTTCCATGATGTCAAACTGCAATATGCGGTCCCCATCATCAGCCAACAAGGAGAGGTAAGGCTGCATCAACATGAACAGATGAATGCACTGATAAATAAGTCATGGTGCAGCTTTCCAATATTCTTATTACATCAGGTCCATATAAAAGGATGATGCACATTTCAAATTTAGACATTTTGGTGGGGCTGGGCAATTTACCGATATTATATTGATATTATGATATGAGACTAGCTAGATTTGGTATATCGTAATATGGCATGAGTGTTTTCTTTTCTTGGTTTTGAAGGCTGCATTACAATAAAGTGGTGTTATTGTCTGAACTTACCAGACTGTTCTAGCTGTTCAATTATTTACCTTTACCCACTTAGTCATTATATCCACGTTAATGATGATTATTTATCAAAAATCCCAATGTGTAAACATTTTGTGAAAGCACCAATGGTCATCCTACGATGTCGCCGAAGTATTGATATTGAGGTATTTGGAAAAAAATATTGTGTTATTTGATTTTCTCTATATGGACCTGCCCTACCTTTTGGGGATGAGTCTATGGGGACATGATGTCTCATTGCTCTGTGTGTACAGGTAGCAGGCAGGTTGCACATTGAGCTGATGCGAGTCAGTGGAGTCGTACCAGAGCGCCTGTCTGGGGGAGACGACTCGTCAGAGAACTCCAGTGAGAGTAGCTGCTATGAGGTGATGGACACCAACGGGGAGATCGTACATATAGCCAAGAGGCTTACCTGCAGGGTAAAGCCTTTTTAAAGTCACTGGATTTCAACAAATACAGGAGTTTTAAATTGCTTGGCCATTGTTTAACTTATTTTTGTTTGATATTTTTCTAAGACAAACTTGTCTCTTTGCTGCAGGTGCGGATCAGGGAGGCCACAGGTCTGCCACTCAACCTGTCCAACTTTGTCTTCTGTCAGTACACCTTCTGGGAACATGGTGAGCCCACTGTGGCTCCTCCCATGGTCAGCCCAGACATACCTTCCCCTCGAAGCCCAGATGCCCAGTTTACTGTCCAGTTTGATCAATGCAAGGTACATGAAAAGGAGCTGCTTGTCTCAACTCAAGGCTGTTAATGCCTCACCCTGAAGCATTAGAAAATTTAATTTCCTTAACTTTTTCCTTTTCTTTTCAAATTAACTCCAGTACAAACATGTTGTCTTTGTGCAGGACTACATTGTGCATGTGACGGATGAGTTTTTGGAGTTTATATCGGATGGAGCATTGGCTATAGAAGTGTGGGGTCACCGCTGTGCCGGGAACGGACGGTCACTCTGGGAGTTAGACGCACTGGAGGCCAAGACCCAGACGCTCCGTGACAGGTACATGTATCACATGTCGCACGCAGACTTTTGTACACACACACACACACACACACACACACACACACACACGCAGACATTTCACACCTAACTAATCTTGGCTGTTGCTTTTTCTAGGTGGAGTGAGGTGTCTCGCAGGATCGAGCTGGTGATCTCCATCCAGGAGCTGAATGAACAGGGAGAGTACTCATCTGTGGAGCTGCAGCCTGGAAAAGACATCAGCACAGGAGGTGTCTTCCAACTCCGACAGGTCAGAGAAAAACTATGAGCAAGTTTCCCTTTTAGGTCAGACAGGCTGCCCTACATCAAACACACACTTAAAGCTACAGTTGATTACTATAATTAAAAAATAACTCATTTACTTACTATATCATGTCAGTAGTACATGAGACAGATAATCTGTGAAAAGAAATCGGGCTTCTCTGCCTCCTTCTGGTGTGACAGTTTGATCGGAATTCACAAGCAGTGATTCACAGCTGCGTTAGCGACTCCTCGGCTCTAATTGGTTGTTTCTCTTTGGCCGTGGTGAAATCTTGCAAATCTGTCTCGTGTAGTATTGTCAGGATATAGTGACAGTTTGAGCAAATATGACCAAAAAGTAATTTTTTTTTTTTAAGTTACCAACTGTAGTTTCAAGAGGATCATGACTAATTATGTCATTATAAACATTCGTGTACACGTTGTACTTTGGAAGTGCAGTGCTGGCAGCAGCATTCTGATGTTGAATTATGGGGATTTGTACAAGCAGGGTCACTCCAGGAGGCTGCAGGTTTGTGTGAAGCCGGTCCAGAACTCAGGCACTCTGCCTCTGCTGGTGGAGGCTTTGATGTCTGTCTCTATCGGCTGTGTGTCTGCTCGCTCCACCAAACTACAGAGACCCCTCGACAGCTACCAGGTGTGTGAAATACACATACACATTTTTTTTCATATACTCACTTGCAACTTAGACTATAAACCTATTGTATTAAAAATAATAGGATGATGATTTGTATGTAATTTGATTCTGGGTTTTGGGAACAGTATGCTTGTGCCATGCCATTGATATACAATATTATGCTGATTTAGCTAAATTAGTCCATCTCAGGTTTCGTGCCATGAGTGGTTCATCTGGGTAGCTGGCAGTGAGTCTAAAGAAGGCCAAGGAATGCACAAACTCATTAGTGCCCTGTTCGTTCTGTTAACATGCACTGATGTGCCCTGATGTAGAAAGAAACGGACTATTTGAGAAACTCCTTTTTTTATTTGCCACATTCAGAATCAATCCTGGGGTTTGTAATAGTTTTCTAAAGACATTTATTGGTGAAAAGCATACAAACATGAACGTAAATTGTTCTTTCACATCACTGAAATTCTTAAAACAGTTACATGAGCAGTGAATGGTAAGCAATGAGCTGTCATGTCAGGGCCTTTTTCTGGTTCCCCACATTTGACTGAGTGTGTTCTCTTCTGCCAGAGAGAGGAGGAAGACGATATGGATAGTTATCAGGTACCCTTTCAGTCTCCCCCTGCTGCTGCTCCCTGTAGCTCACTATGCAGCATGAAGGAAACCAAATTCATCATGTGTTTGCGACTAGGCTGTTGCTGAGGGCATGTGAGGCAGGAGGCAGAGGGCTGTGCCAACTAAATTAGTGCTTTATTAAAAAGCAGCTGCACATGTGGGCAATTTCTGATGCTGTAATTATCAATCACACCAACCAACCATTCTTTGGCAGCCCTCTATGCAAAACGCAGTTCCACCCATGGCTGAGCTCCCAGCCAGCAGTCTGTCCCGCTCTCTCTTGCCTTCCCCCTCAGGTTGCTGCACACTAATGCTGCTGTTTGCCCCTCACTACTGAAGAGCTGCAGGAATAATAAGCCTCACCGAATTACATGGGCATTGCATGACTGCTTGATTTACAGTACTTTGCATGCTGGAAGTGTGCTGACGTCAGAACAAGCGTAATAAGTTTGGCATTGAGGTCTGTTGGTTACTGTGGACAATGTGGCTCCCTCACAGAGTGATCTGCTGTATTTCCAGGTTGGACTTCGGGTGGCTGTGGCTGCATGTGAGGACATGTTGATGTGTGCATGCAAGACTGTATGTGTGAATGCATGTGTGTAAGTCACAAAGGGGTTAAAAGGAGGTGTTATGTGTGTGTGTATTTAGATAATTTGACCATAAACGGTTTTCACCAAAAAAAAAATGCACCATGGGACTTTCAGAACTTCAATTATCTTAAATTAGCTTTCACTTGGCTTGGCTAGTGGGTGTATTAAGGAGCAGTTATGGTACTACCTCAGACAGATCAGCCCTGTGCAGCCTCACCTTGCCCTGTTAACACAACACTGAGCCCTGGAGCACATCCTTTGCCTGACTGAGCCAGCTGGCTCTGACTTTGGTCTCTGCCTGTTTTCAGGAGGAAGATCTCAACTGTGTCCGAGAGCGCTGGTCAGAGGCACTGATAAAACGTCGGGAGTACCTTGATGAACAAATCAAGAAAATCATCAACAAACAAGGTGGGTCCTTGGTCCTGTGTTACACCTACCACTTGCTGAAGGACCTGAAGCATGACGGCTGTGTGTTGTCTGTAATTTTTGTTCTGTTGTGATGAAACCTTTCTCCGCATTTATGTAATTAGAGAAGTCAGAGGAGGATATTGAGCGTGAGGCTCGACTAGTGGAGCAGTGGGTGGGTCTGACTGAAGAGAGAAACGCAGTGCTGGTACCTGCACCTGGCAGTGGCATCCCTGGAGCTCCTGCAGACTGGTAAAACACCAACACACACTCATGCACGTGTCGGACTCGCTTCATTTGAAGCCCTTTTTTTTCCTTGGTTAATCATATTCAACCCCTTATAGGACCCCACCTGCAGGAGTGGAAGCTCACATCCCTGTACTCTTCCTAGATTTAAATGGTAAAGCAGACACGTCCTTTACATCAACTGATATTTCACGGTCTCCTTTCAGGCCTGAACAAACACTAACTGTCTTTCATGCCACCAGCGGATAATCTGACAGTGAATGAGCAGCTGACCGGCCCGCATGCTGCAGGCCATAACTCTATACTGCCCAAGGAGCATGGGAGCCAGTTCTTCTATCTGCCCATCATCAGGCACAGTGACGAGGAGGTAAGCAATGCATTTGATTTTTTTACTGCCTTCCTGTGGCCAAAAAGTGAACTCTGGGAAACATACAAATGCAGGACCACCATATCATCCTTTGCTTATAAAGCTAAGTGACACTGTGTAAAGTAAACGTAAAGCTTTGGGTTTTCCATTGCTTCTACTAGTTGTGTGCGTTGTGTATTTTTGTAAAAATACATGTCTGTTTCCCATCGACTCTTGATTTTACTACTTCATGCTTTTTTTTCTCAGATAATCACACACAGACGAGAGCACTTCAAGGCAACACGTTTTCTAGAATTATGTGCATAATTGAACAATTACATAGTCATGTAATTGTTCAGAATCATGCATTCTGATTTAAAAGAAAAGTCATCCCAATTTCTTAATTTTGTCTTTGATGTTCCGAAATTCTCATCCATGCCCTCGTAACCTCCAGACTCGACTACTGCAACAGCATCCTCTATGGTTCTCCCAACAAAATCCTCAATAAACTCCAATATGTTCAGAACTCTGCCGCTCGACTGCTCACTTCCACCCGCCGCTATGAACACATCACCCCGGTCCTTCAGGACCTCCACTGGCTCCCGGTCAAATACAGAATAGACTTCAAAATACTACTCACCACCTACAAAGCCCTAAACAACCTGGCCCCTCCCTACCTTTCAGACCTCCTCCCCCTCCACGCCCCAACCCGTTGCCTCAGGTCCGCCGGTGCAAACACTCTGAAGACCATCAGGACCAAGCGCCGGACCTGGGGTGACAGGGCCTTCTCAGCTGCTGCACCTCCCCTCTGGAACGCCCTCCCCATCCACATCCGTGAGGCTCCCTCCCTATCAAACATTCAAACAAGCCCTCAAAACCCACCTCTTCAAACTCTCCTTCACCTGCTAACCCCTGAATCCTACCCTCCTTTACATGACCCATTCAGCACAGCTTCTCCAGTCATTATTATTTTTTATTTTTTTTGTTTGTTCTGTTTGTCTCTGCCTTGTAAAGCGTCTTTGGGTATCTTGAAAAGCGCTATAGAAAATTGATATATTATTATTCTTATTATTATGTTGAGCAGCAGCTCTAACCATACAGTAATTACCGTACTCTTTACTGTGCATAAGTGTCATGAGATTGCAATTTTTCTACTCATTAGCCAACTGCTGCAAATCCAAAGCTACAGCCCAGCTACACGACTGTAATTCATGTTTTTGTATGTGCAGTCACAGCCGACTGGCACAGATTCCCTCTCTGCTACAGTAATACAACTCCTCCAATTCACCAGGTGTTGGCAGTGTGTTCATGGGACTCATCAATCCACGATTCTGTGCACCTCAACCGCATCACATCTCCTAACGAACGCATTTATCTGATCATCAAAGCCACTGTGCAGCTCAGCCACCCTGCATCCATGGAGCTGGTGCTCCGCAAGAGGATCGCTGTCAACATCTACAACAAACAGGTCAAAACAAGAGGGATCAGATTTAATCAGAGGGGGTCAGTGCACAGCAGAGGTGGTTGTTTGCAGCAATGGATTGTGTTTTGATGATCAGCATAGTTTTTGTTTCCTACAGAGTTTCACTCAGAGTCTCAAGAGAAGAATGTCCTTAAAGAACGCGCTTTATTCCTGTGGTGTGATTTATGAGATTGTTTCCAACATACCAAAGGTACAAGTTGTTCATTCTACCTCTATATCTAACAATGGCTGCTTTCAGAACGTGTGTGTATTGTCTACAGCCCTTTGTAAGTCTCTTCCCTTATCTTCCCAGGCCTCAGAGGAGCCAGAGGAAAGGGAAACCTTGGCCCTCATGGCTGCTCGTGCAGACAGCGAGGAGACTCAGGATGGAGAAACCTACATAGAGAAGTACACACGGGGAGTTCTGGAAGTGGAGAACATCCTTAGTCTGGAGAGGCTACGACAGGTATTTCACACTGTAGCTCACTGACCTACTGAAACACAAACAATCTGATTTGTTTGACATGTAAAGATGAACCTGTCTTGTTTTCTTTCCTAAAGGCTGTCGCAGTGAAGGAAGCAATCACTACTAAGGGACGACACCTAAGAAGGAGTATCAGCACACCAAATGTACAGCATGTAATGAAAACTTTACTCACTGCACTGCCCACAGAACCATATGGAAATAATTGTTATTAAATAATATGATGCCGATAACATGATGTCTCTTGCTCTTCAGTCTTCATGTAGTAAAACAGACCTGACTGGTTGTGAAGATGAAGACTGCAAGGTAAGTCAGGTGTGCTTTAACAATATGTTTATCACAAAACTCTGATGTTGGATTACAATGAACTAGTATTTGCTGCAATAGTCTTGTCAAAATGCATAGCTTTTCTCTGAGCTAAATGCTGCGTGTCGTAGTTGTCCCTTTGATTATGAAAATGACACGTTTTTTTGGGGAATATCTCCCACCATTACACTAAAGGTCTCCTCATGTAGAAGTTTAAGTCTTTTAGCTGTAAATTTACTTTTAATTCACAAAACTTCCCAATTTAACCTGTGTATTATTGTCTAGGGCCACTGTGATAATGTTGACAGTACCAACTGCAATCCCCCGGAGGGCTCGCTTTGTACCACACCCATCAAAAGCAAGGAGAATCCAGGTAAACTATGTGCAGCAGCTGCATTGTTTCTCGACTTGTGGTCAACATTTTTGTGTGTTGCCACAACATAACTGGGTTACCACTGGATGTTGCCACACAGGTTTGGTTCCAGAGAGCCCTACGTTTTTCAACTCCAGCCCCTTCAAAGTCCTCTCCCCTCAGCCGCCGAAATTCCTCAAGTCCCTGCTGCCTGTTAAAGAGGAGAACAAGGTGAAGAAAGTCCTGGAGGCCCGGCCGCTGCTGGGACAAGAGGTAAGGAGGATGAATTCACTATTTTTCAAGAGGGGAGTATTCATGTCTTTGTTTCTGTTGTGTTGTTCTCACATATCCTTGTTTTGTCAAACCCCATATTTTACATTTTGCCATGTCACTTATCAAATCGAGCTACATTTCCACAACATGATAAACTTTGACAAACATTGACAACAATTACTACTTGCCCAAAGCTGCTTGATGATTACATTTTGAAAATGGCTTTGCTGTTGTGTGACTGGCCAAAAGAACTGAATTGAAATGAAAGAGCCTGACTCACAGGAGCATGACTTCAACTGGGGAGAGCCACAGTGCTGAATTAGACAAAGCTAAGTCTTGTGTCTGATTTTGTTTGTGATATTGGATTCTGATAGTTTGTGGCTGTTTCAACCATTTAAACTAACCTTACATATTTGTTTTCATCCGTGCTTGAAGTGGACATAAAGAGGCGCAGGTACTTTACAAATCAGTCCATGTTAGGGATGCTGTGGTTGAGAGACAGAGGTTTCTAGCTAGCAGCAAATGGTTCAGTTAGCAGCAGGATTATAGTGTATGACTGCAGTTTAACATAAATAGCTGCAGTCCGGATAAAAAATGATCTTCTATATGATATTAAAATATAGCAATATCTTAGATGTTTGCTATGGGCTATACTAGTGTGTGGATATGGGACAACAGGGGTCAAGAGCCTGCAAATATATATCACAAGAAGTTGTGGCCCAGTAAAAAGTACAGTTTCTTCGGACACTTCAAGCACAGTTTTTTGTGAAGTATCAAACTGCATGGCACTAACTGTGTAACTGGCCTGCCCAGCTCCATGCATGCTTTGTGTGTGTGAAGTGTTGTTCTGACCCATCCGCAGAGCATGCGCTCATGTGTGGACAGCCCTGCACTGCTCCCCCCTCCCTGCCCCTGGCGCCGGCCCAGGGCAGGCAGCGAGGGCCACTGCAAGCCTTCCACCTCCACCTCCACCACTCCCACCAGCAGACAGCTCAGCCACACACTGCCACACACTGCTGTAAGTGCTACACACACCAGCTCACACTGCTCCGAGGGTTACTCTAAGAGTTTCACACACACACACACACATACACACTGATGTGACACACGCTCACACTGTTGTCAGTATCGCACGTAGACGCATACACACTGCTACACTTTGCTTTAACGTTTACACGTGAACACCTTTTCAACCATTCTCTGTGCTGGTGACGGTACATATGAAGGGCTAGGATTTAGGATGAGGTTCAAATACTTTTTGAAATATTACGAGTTCCCTAGCAACAAACATCCTTTGTTTACAAGTTCCAACAGTAAATATATAAAGAATACAGTTAAACATTGATTCCTTGCTCATCTGATTTTGGTCTTTTTTTTTTTTTTTTTAGCACAGAATCAAATCAAAGTATTTCACCTTGTAGTGCCACTCTTTAGTCTTGTCTAGCATTGATGACGAAACCCCTCCTGCTCCATACAATAGACTTGCTGCATTGTGTCCACATACATTTATCATGATAGAGAGAAGAGGAAATAATTGCTGCCTCAGAAATCGCATGTTAAGCACTACATACTCAATATGTGTACGATTGTTCAGCATGTGTGAATAAACAGTAATATGTATCTTTTCAGATGCACTGAACTGTAATTACCATTTCACTTCCTGAGAGCCTCCTTACCGATTGGAGACGTGTAACCCTTGCCAACCTGTGCCAACTTCATGCAACCAAACGACGAGTTGTGAGCTGAACTAATTTAAAAACTATAGCAGACCGATCAAAGTGAAATCCTGTACTCCTGTAAATTTGCTTTGAAGCATTATTGACGTTACAGAGCTGTCCGCCATTGTCTATTAGGAATGTTGTTGTCACTTCAGCATTGCATTGTGGGATATCGATGCCAGCATGTTGATGCAAAAACAAATCTCACATACTGTTTTTGCATACTAAATAGTATATCAGTATAGAATTTCAGACGCGACCAACATTTTGTGCAAAATAGAAAGAGACAACTGTGATCTTTTTTCTTCACCAATGAGGACATTGTCCTAATTATGTTAATATTTAGGTTTCAAAATAAGTGTTGTCAAGATAATATTATACAAGTTTTTACAATACGAGATAATTATACTCCTTATTATCATTGTTTTAATATTTACTCTGTTACTTTGGAGCGCCCATCCTTTGTATGTCCCTCACATTATGTTATATACCTCTCTTAACCCCAACCGCCCCAGTGCCTTGAGACCAGTGTTTTACAGTATGTTGTATAATTTGTGGTAGGGGTTTCTGCAGTGTTTAAAAAGTGGTAATATAGTCCTGTACAGCCTCACATTGCACAGTGTAAACCCGCACATGAGTACAATGGTACAGTAGCAAACACCTTAGAGCGAAGTTCAGAAAACATGAAAATGTGCCACATTATTCATACACTATGTTCATGTTCCATTATCACATTTTTCGGCATTTTTCATTCTCCCCATTCACTTTAAAACAAGTGTTTATATAATGCTAATGCTCCATACAGGCTTTGTCTAACATAATGTCTGGAGTGATGTATCTTTTGTCCTAATGCTGTTGTTTTGATCAACAGGACTCTGAGGACGAGGAGGCGTATGTGGACATGACTCAGGACCACAGCAGCTTCCAGTCTTACGTCCCAGAGGACTTTGCAAACTTTGAGATCTACAACGCCAGTCTGGAGAACCAGGAGGGGCTTTTATCCTCTCGGTCTGACTTAAAGGGAAGCCGATGTGGGAGTGGAGAAAGAGAGGTGCCTCGAAGCCCCACGGCCAGCAGTTGCACTAGTGGCTACTTTTCACACAGCGCCTCCAACGCGACACTGTCTGACATGCCTTTCAGTGCCAGTGAGAGTTCTGACCACCTCAGCTGCACCTCCAGAGACCCCCACGACCCTCTCGGCAGCCCTGCGGGGAGGGCCTGCACGCAAACCAAAAGTGTTTCTGCAGGGAGTGACACCCAGCTGCCTCTCCTCTCAGCAGGCAGGGTTGAGGAGGTGCTCATTCATCCTGCCAGCCAGGAGTTCACTGACTTTAAAGGGGCTGATGATAGTATTGGAGACCGTGATTTAGCACATTTTACAGGTGGATGGGAGCAGGAGGTTTTGGACAATGAAACATGTGACACTGGCAATGAACACTCCTCTGATGTCTCTGGTGTTATCAACACATCTGTTACTGGAGACAATTCAACTGCTACATGCACATTTCCAAATAATGCAGGCCCTGTTTGTGAAGCTGTGTCCTGCCCTAACTCACCTGTAGTTTGCACTTCAGACAGAGTCACAATATCTGTGCCTGACATAGTACCAGCTCCATCTACAGCAGCACAATCCCCAATCGCACCTTTATCTACAGCCCCAGCCTCTGCCCCGAGTCTGCGAGCAGGAGGAGAACCTCCAATCGAGGAGCCGGCCCAGGGAGATCTGCCCCACGGGAGTCCCTGTCCCAGCCCAAACCCCAGCAGCGCAGAGCCTTCAGGAGATTCCAGTGGCGATGAGAGCACCCCTGTAGCTCAGCTTCCTGACTGGATGGCACCAGGGGAGCAGGTGTGGGTGGGGAAGCGGAGAGGAACAGTCCACTATGTCGGAGGGGTGGAGTTCGCTAAGGGGATCTGGATTGGTGTGAAGCTTGACATGGCAGTGGGTAAGGCCTTTTCTAAATTTTGTCAAACCGCCCCCAACTTTTTGTTGGTAGAGCCTGGCAAATACAGAAGTAGAAATGGTGTCGTCATCACATAGTGTGTCCACCAGAGAGCACCACTTAGAACATATGTTGGTCACAATTCTCCAATACCAAAATGTATAGGGAACCTTATAAAAAACACATCATAAAAAAATCATAGCAACCAAAATATCAGACTTGTTTCACCCTCGCATACAGACCAGCTAAACCCATAATGGGGCCAAATGACTGTGGTCAACCAATTCCCAGGTGTCACCCTCAAAAGTCCAGTAGTGCTCAGTCAGATTTTGTTCCTGTTGTATGAGATGTCCAACATGTGATATAGTATAAAGGTTTTACCATTATTCTACATATCTGTAATGATTGATCTTCCTACAGGTAAGCACAACGGGACTGTCCAGGGCAGAGTGTACTTCCGCTGTCCCCCAGGTCACGGTGTATTTGTGAAGCCATCTCGTCTCACCAGAGGACCGCCCTGCATGGACACAGAACCCCAGACTCTGATCAGATAGGACCCAAAGAAGGACCTGCTTTCTGAGGAAAGGCATGGACCCGAGGGTGCTCCTCAGATCCAGTGCCTATGGGTGAACCCCAGGCTGACTTCAGCGCGGCTCCTCTCCTTGTAATGGAGATGCTGGTGTATTCTGTGGGCTTGTCTGCTTTCCTAAAGCATATCTGACCTCTGCATTTAATGAAGGTAAATTCTAATTACTGTTCACTGAAAATTCACTATGCACATATCTGAGTTTTCTATACGGGGATATTTTTGATAGAGAACTTAAATATTACCCAAATACATTTTCTTACATTGGTATCTGAACATTATAAATAATATTTTTGTAAGACAATGCATCCTCCCTGAGGCTCATGTTGGAGTAATCTGGGAGATGAAAGTTAAGAATGTACTACTGTTTATAAACATTGATATTTACATCAATATGATCTGTCAGGGGTAACCAAAGAACTACGGTTCCATATCTGCTGTTATGAGTAATATGTTATTTTTCTAATGCGTATATGTGGAGTTAAACACTATATAGCGATGTGTCCAAGTAAAGCTTAGTGCCATATCTCTAGGAGTGATGCCACATACCCTGAACAGAGGACAAATCTACTAAACCTGAGTTGCTTTCAGCGTTTGACTGAAGTTGTATCATGTTAAATTATCCTGTTGAAGTACTGTAACACTGTGGAGGAAATAATCCCCATCCAGCATGAGACTCTTGCTGTTTGAATGCTTGCACTGGAAAGGATTCTTGGAGAGTTCGCCGACTGTCTTCCATATTTGACTGATGAGATGTTTTCTAACGTAAGTGACTGAAAGAAACACGTGTCATCATTTTCATCGGGGGAACACAGCAGCTGGGCTTTGCTCAAGGCCTGGATGTAGTGATGCCTTAAAGCCCTGTTTCCATAAAGGCAGGCACATAAACCCCAGACTGCTCAATGAACTCCATAACAAGCTCACTGAGTTTTAAACTAACTAACTGTATGGACCTGAAACCTGTGTATGTATATTATGACGCCCAGAGGCATTCAAAATGCCACCCAGTCTTGCGGACTGTCTGAATATCTGTTTAATTCATTGTCTATCTGCATTTTATATGTAAGCTGATATATAACACTACATGTAAAAGAAGGTACTCAATAATGCTTTTTTTTAAAAGAAGGATTGGATGAATGGGTGATCGAACTTCTATTTTTATGGAAGTGGTGAACGTGGAACTGACGAGTTATATGCCCGAGCTGTAATTTCAAGAAAATGAAAGAAACCCAGGACCTTACTTTAAAGAAGAGAACAACGCTGCTCTCCCTCATAAGGAGTTGTAAATAGAAATGTGTGTTGAACATAGTATTTACACTATTATAATGTACAGAATTGTATTTATAATGTATCACAAACTGTTTCAATTGGTACAAAATGTTCCAGAATAGAACATTTACAATCATCAAACTGTGTTGTCTCTTCATTGTTTCTCATTCAAGCTCACCGTGTTTGCATGTTTTTAGTGGGTTTTGTCTGTCTCACCGACAAACATGTTTCCAGGACATAAGTAATTACTCTTAATCTAAATGCAATAATATTCATTCATAGTCATTTCAAATGTATTTTCTTTTTGAATGTACTCTAATCTCATGTTTCAAGTACAGGTTTTTTTTCTCGTCCTTTCTGTGCCTGATGTAAAGGTTAACAAGACAAACATGTAAACATGTTGGCTCCTGTAAATAATGTAGGCTGCCCCATGCATGAGAAGTAACACTATTTGTAAAGCCTGTTATTGTTTCAATACTTGACCCGCTATTAGTAGTGCCAATCAAACTCTGCCAAAACACATGGTCCTTCCAAGTTGCCTCATAATTAGGCCACTGCTGCACAAGATGTCACATTTGAGGTAACTTAATTATAGTGCCCTCATGGGGTCAACTGGTGTATTTTTTCAAAACTTGTTCTACATTACAAAAATGAATATTCATGGATCAGCGCTGGGTGGACAACTGTACTGCTTGGACAGGATCAAATTAATGGTTTTTAAGGGGGTCGGGGGCTTGCACTGAGGGGCTTTTGTGAGTTCTGTATTGTAAAATCCTGATTTAGGCCTGGTAGTGAGGAGAACACTCTGTGGATGCCATGCTTTTACACTGAATGTTCAAAAGAAAAGTAGCCTACGCATGCACCTCACAACGCAGATCCATCTAGTTTCAAAGCCGAAAAGTCTTCCTCAAGCTTGCTTTGATCAATATCTTTTGTCTCTGACTGCGACCAAATGTATTCGTTTTTTTCTTTACTTATTTTAGTGTGTCCATGCCACTCTTTCAGCAGCTGTGCGCCAGCAGGCAGCCTGAGAGCACAGGGTGGTGGTCTGGATCTGGGTGGAGTTAAGTAGGCTATCTGTGTCACACACTGACAACTGGGAACCCTCCCGCACCAAAGTAACAGGTGTCCTCCTCCTTCAGAGCCACAGTCACATCACCGGGGGGCTGCCTGTCCACGCCGCAGACTCTCTCCCTCAACTGATCTGAACGCTGTTCTCTACTTGATCTGATCCTACTACTTCCAGGAAATCGCTTTAACACAGAGCTACAAATGATGCACTCGGCACAGAAAGACACCACGTTCACCAAGATCTTTGTGGGAGGTCTTCCTTATCACACCACGGACTCGAGTCTCAGGAAATATTTCGAGGTGTTTGGAGACATCGATGAGGCTGTTGTCATCACCGATCGGCAGACGGGGAAATCCAGAGGTTATGGATTTGTAAGTAAAAACCTAGTTCTGAGTTGCCTTTTTTTTTTTTTTTTTTTTTTTTTTTTTTTTTTTTTTAAAGTTGCTTGCACACGTGCACAGTCGGGGATACGGTCGATTGATCCAGTGTCGGCACCTGTAGGCTGAAAGATTGTAGTGCTTCCTGTTCTGCGTGACAGCCAGGTTAGAAATAGGAAATGTGTAGCTCTCACCGCAGTACAATATGACCAGACTCCTCTCGATGGACCTTGTAAACAAATGATCTATAATTTGTAAGTGCTACCTTATCACTGTGACCAAGAAATCTCCATGAGGTCAATGGAAAATGTGCTGTTTCTTCCAGGTTACCATGGCAGACCGGGCCTCTGCTGACCGAGCCTGCAAGGACCCCAACCCCATAATAGATGGCAGGAAAGCCAATGTGAACCTGGCCTACCTGGGGGCCAAGCCGAGGGTCATACAGCCAGGTGAGGGACTGGACTACAGCTTTGTTTCCCAACTTCAAGATAATCAAGGTGGCATACAAAGACAGTATTTTTCTCTTGTAAATGATTGGCAATCTTGCAAAGGATCACTGAAAATGATCTTCACTGTAATAGAAAAGTGTCAGTTCTTCAAACGAAACTATAACAACTGTCTGTTTTCATTGTAGGATTTGCATTTGGCATGCCTCAGATCCATCCAGCATTCATCCAAAGGCCTTACGGGTATGTTAAGCTGCAAAAATTACATTTCCTTCACAAAATACGTCTGTCTGAAAGTAAGGAAATCTGCTATTTTCTTTTATGATCTTATATAAAGTGTTTTTATTGTTGTAAAAACGTAATTTATCATTGCCTCCACCTATTAAATCCTGAATGAGGACGTGTGAATGTGTGCTCCACTGCTTGGTGTTGACTGTTAATTAAGGAAGTAAACATTTTCCCAGCCAATACAGGACTTGACTTCATGTTGTCTATCTCTCTCTGATCTGACAGGGTCGGTAACGGTTAAAATAGCTGATGAAGGGACATGATGGTTTGAGGAATAGCTGAGTCTGCATTGGGCAGAGCGCTAAAGTGTTACCTGTATACTCTGACATACACAAACGAACTGAAATGGTGACTAGATGCATGGAAGTCTTCTGTTTTTTTTTCCCAGTTTTCCATAGTACATAGATTGGTGTGTGCCTTGTTTTCAGTATGATGTGGTGTTCAGCTTAACTGTGTGCTCATTTCTACTTGCAGTGGGGAAGGTGGGGGGGGGGGAAGGAGGTTTTTGTGCAGACTTTGTGAGTTTTGATAGGGAGATCTGCAACGGGGTGTTGCTTCTTTTCCCTTTTTAATAATTGATTTGTGCTTTAGCCTGTGATTTATTTTATTTTCTCAGTTTCTTGTTAACATTACGTTGATCGTGTTTTGTTGTCAGAGGGGGGCTGATGATCATTCACAGAGTGTTAATTTCAAATTCCATCCCCCGCAACAAAACAAACACTCGCTTGCATGTGGGAGTTTATTTTTCTGTTTCCTTACCCATTATGCTGTGTTTTTTTTGTTCTTTTATTAACACATTGCTTCCACTTGTAGTGTATATCTACAGGTACAGATTACTGAGTATACTTTTTCTTTTGTATTTTTCTCACCACTCCAGCGGTTGTCATTAAACACACAAACACAAGTAGTGTTATGACCACAGGAAAGAACAGAAGAATATGTTTAATTACCCCCATTTGGTACTTTATTAGCATAGCTCAAGTTATAGTAACTTAATCGAAAATGTCAAAACTTCAAATAATAGCTGGATCACTGTCTGTTTAAACAATTTGTAGATCTTAACTAACTTTTGATGTGATAATGGATTTGTTATTTAGCTTTGCAGTAAACTCAAATGTTCACTGCACTATAGGTTGGAGACAGAGATCTTAGTAGGTCTCTTAGGCAACAGCTGTTGGCTACAGTGATCTCCACGGCCTCTCAAATTCAGATGGAAAATGGGAGTCACTCAGCAGCGCTGTTAATAATGTATGGCACAGACAGGGCCGCTCGGCTGTGGACAACAGGTGGGCCGAGCCATGTGCCCATGAAGCCTTTTGGTTATGTGCTGGGGATTACTCATGTGTCCTGGTGATTTACAAAGCACCTTTATTTAGCGCTCGACGTGCAGTACCAAAAAATGTTCCTCCCATCTCTTTCAATAGAGGTGGCTTAAGGCAGCTGTGCCCTTTAGTTATAATATATATATATATAGTTGATAATAAAACAAGGTCATATCACAAATAAAGGGAACCAGCATGTTGGTTCCTGTCTTGTCAAGTTGAAAACTCTACATGTTATTATTCTATTTATCACGTTTAATACAATAATTGTAACGTTTTCTGTGATCATTATGCAGCTATAGTACAAAACGGTTAGCTCTTGGTTACAGCAGTGGCTCTAGCGTCCCACTTTGTGACAAGAGCACCGCTTTGTGATTGGCCAGGACACCTCCAGTCTGGTAATAAAGACGTAAATTCAGGATAGTCACTGAGACAGTAGAGAGTCAGCGGCGGCCATGACAGCCGACGAGTGCCCTGCCATGTGTCACTGAAGGAGATCAGCTTGTCCTTTAGAGATGACAAGGGGAGCAAAAATAGCATGCTTCCAGCCTCCCTTGTCAGTCAAGTTGCCGTGTGTATGTTTGTGTGGGGGTGTATGTCTGCGAGAGGGGGAGGGGAAGCTTGTCTATGGCCAGATATAACAGTTTCACACCTGCTCCTCTGTATATTACAGAGGGTGACTTTAACACAACTTTAAAGTGGGGGCCATATTTACCCAGATACCCAGGCTTGTATTCATCCATTTATACCCTGCCTGGTCTATATACAGAATATTGCCCTTCTAATGGAGAGCTCCCTTCTAATCTCGTCTTTCACCTTTTTGAAATAGTAAAATTAATTTATTTTTCAAGCAAATAAACACAACAGGGCCTCGGCAAAAGCTAATACAACCAAGCACCCACTTGATTAGATACAACACTGTATCATTAATTCAGCAGCTAATTTGCAGTTTATTCCATTTTCAGGAGGCTCTATTAACATGTGTGGGCATGCCTGTATGTGTGGTGTTGGTGTGACCGTATGTGGACAGAATAGTGTCCACTCCTCTTCCTGATATGTTGTGGTGTTGTGCGATAAGCTCGCATTTTTGTCAAATACTGTTTTCGGTGGAACATTGGGTGCAGAGCTGGGCTGTGTCTTCTTTTAATGCCTTATCGTGTTTCAGATTCAGGTGCTTTTTGATATTAAAAGCTGCGCTTGTGTTTCTTTGTGGTTTTGCTGCTTCCTTAACTTTTTCATTTCTAGGTAGGGTTTTCAGTTGTTATTGAATGGATTTGCTGTGTTCTGAGGACTGGATTGACGTTTTTGAGGCGCCTGCTTTTCAGTTTTCCAGAATTTAGTTTCAGCATAGGAAAAACGACTTGAATGAATTGCTTTTGACCCTGTGTGTCTTTGTGTCCTACAGAGTCCCTGCACACTACGTCTACCCTCAGGCCTTTGTCCAACCCAGCATGATGATGTCTCACGTACAACCTTCTGCTGCTACAGCAACAGCTGCTGCTGCCACTTCCCCATACCTTGACTATACTGGAGCAGCGTATGCCCAGTACTCTGCAGCTGCCACCGCTGCTGCCGCTGCTGCTGCATATGAGCAGTATCCATACGCAGCCTCACCAGCACCAACAAGCTACATGACTACAGCAGGGTATGGATACACTGTCCAGCAGCCACTTGCCGCTGCTGCCACCCCAGGAGCTGCCGCTGCTGCTGCCGCCTTCAGCCAGTACCAACCTCAGCAGCTCCAGACAGATCGCATGCAGTAAAACCATGAAAATGACCGTAAAGGGGGAAAGCAGGGGAGGTCCGGAAGTTATGAGGGGGAAGATTGTAGGGGCTGAATGATGGTTGTCACAGCCAGGTTTTAACTTGGCAGTCCTTCTACCAAAGAGCCTGACGAAAATCAGCAGAAATGTGGAGAGAAGTGAGGGATTACTGTATATTTTATTCGAGGGACATCAGTATTTTGTCACTGTTGAACATGTTTGAATATTTAATATTTATTCAGCAGGAAAATATTTAATGTTAACTGAAGTAGACTCACTCAACCATTGCTGTATTTTCTATATATGTAGCAGTGGAATTTGTATACAATTTCCAATTTTCACGTCTTATGATCAGGTTTCTTCCCCACTTTGAAAACAAACCAAAACACTTGCGTACATATGAAAACAGATTGTTAGGTCATTATGCAGTGTTCAGTATTTCGTAGTTTTGGACCAGCATTTTGTTTGGTAAAGCTATGCAGACATTGATATAGAAGCTAGCGTTTCGTTAGGATTGTTCTCCTTTTTTAATAATCGTTTGGAGTGAGATAGATTAGACACTGTCAACTAGTTTCCTTAAAAATATATTTTCATGATACTTTGTCAGACAAAATGTCAGCTGAAGCTGGTAAAAGCACTCTATTTTCTTCTCCTTAAATTGCACCTCAAGTAAACTCAGCATAAGGGAAGAAACATTGTTGAATGTGAATCTTTCATTTTGACAAAATGTTTCATAATGTGCCTTTTAAATTATGCTATTTATGTATTTATTTTGGAGCCTTACAGTAATGAACCCTTTATTTTGTGTTCATGTGTTGGTATGAAGCCTACTAAAGAACATGTCCACATGTGCTGCTGCATAATGATCAAGAGCATGTGATGGATGTTTGAAGTTGGCTTAACAAAGTGATACACTGTGTATAAAGAACAAAAGATGAGTGGAAAGGTAGCAATAAGTCCAATGCATTTTCTATTGATCTAATGTCTCAAAAAGATTCTTAATTCTTAAATGTCCCTTTTTATACTTGACCAGTTTGATAAAGGACAGCGTGAGAACTGTTAACTTTTTTTATTTTTTACATTTGATGTCATTAGACATTAAATGTTTTCTAATGCAAGGACATCACCTGTTTCACCTTGCATTTTATAATGCATAACTCAAAATAATGCAAACATTTAATATGTGAAATAAAAAGAAATTTACCTTCAACTCTTTTATTCTTCTGTGTTCTGTGAAATATTGTTTTTGCTCATAGCCCATCATTTCTTTGATGAAATCATGTTATGATGGTCTCAGTTGTGGAGGAAGAATATGTAACACATGGCCAAATAATGCATTTATAGATCTAAACAATTGCCTTTAGCAGTTAAGAGTAGTCATTAGTAACACTAGAATGTAAACCATTATTTGTTGTTCATATAATCTGTTTGACTTTTATTGACATCTCTCAGGAAGAAATAGTCAAATATGTGACTAATTCCAAGATAGAAACCACCCAAGAAACCCAATAGGCAAGATATGGATAAGGGAAGACCTGTGTCACTAACTAATAATGGATTACACGTTTTTAGGAAATTGGTGTACAATTTAAACACTGCTGCAGAATTTGATGCTTGCCTCTGTTTACATTGTAAATCAACTTGGATTTTGCGTAACATGAATCCGGTCTGCTGTGACTCCAAAATAGTAAGAAGGTGAAGTCCCTCTCCCCACATTACAAGTAGTTGAAAAGAAGCTGTTTGCCATATTCCTTCATGCTGAAATGAAATAAATCAAAAACCTCAAAATAACCTAAAGTAGTGGAGATGTTTTCAATATTTCTAGAGTCACAAATTCTGATAAATGATGTTTAAAAATAAATTGATACTGCGCTTTATTGGCTCTTCTGTGGTTGAGCAGACCCAAACAACTGAAATGCAAACTCGGCCTATGGTTGTTTGAGATCACACAGTCCATTCCCTGTTTTGTTCACCTGTTTACAATCCTTCACTAGTCCAACAATTTATGTGTCATAAGACAAATGAAAATAAAAGCTGTTTTGTGACACACTCTGATTGCCCTCTCAGGTCATTTTACTATAACTGTGGTGGCCTCCTGACACCTGCTGGTTCATGCCAGGCACTTTTTATTGCCAAGCATTATGCAGTTAAGCAGTGGAGGAAGACGTTTCCACTCATGTAAAAGTAGCAATACCACTACATATAAATACAGGTAAAAGTCATGCATTCAGCATTTTATTTGAACAAAAGTACTAAGTATTAGCATCAAAATACACTTTAAGTACCAAAACTAGAAAATACTCATTATGCAGAGTAACCCATTTTTGAAGTATAGCACAGTATATGTTATGAGATGATAATCGTTGATGCATTAACATATAAGTATCACTTCAATATTGCAGAGAAGATGGGGCTAATTTCAACAAGGCCTTTAGCTATATATGCCACTGTAGGGTAGCTTAATCTATGATAATAACCATAGATTAACCATAATAACCAGTAACTAAATTCGTATAAATGTAGTGGAGTATAAAGTAGGCTACATTATTTTACTCTCAAATGTAGTGGAATTGAAGCATAAAGTTGCAAATATTGGAAATACTCAAGTAAAGCAAAAGCACCTCAGAGTTGCACTTAATTGCAGTTATTCAGTAAATGTACCTAAATAATTTCCACCACTGCAGCTGAGGTATTGTCCTTCCTTCAACTCTCCTCTTTCAGATAACAGAATTTTTTCTTCACTATCGTTTGGCGCATTTCGAGCAGATGGACGTCACAGACACTGTTTCCGTGCTGCATTCAAATAATATCGTAATTATCGTAATCTAAGGGCTCATCTGAACATCCATGTCGTAAATACGACTTGAAAACTCTGACTTTTCGGAAAGATCCAACGTAGTTGCCGCAATAATACGGAAATGTCTGAAAACCAAGCAAACATGGCTGTCTTACGTTGGCTAAATATGTCGCTCAATGTACTGAAACCCGCATTAAGTGGAGTAAGGTTTTTTCCCACTGCCTTCCTGTTTCCCTTGTCTACCGATCATCCCGTATGTCCTGAACGCGACATCCGCATCGTGGGGGCGGAGAGGTAACAGCAGTTTACTGGCAGTCAGGGTGAAGAAAAAGAAACCCAAGTGGGCTAGAACCTACGGAATAAATACCACAAATAATTTAGGAGGGGCTCTTCTGGGATTAAAACGTTGACTGCGAGCAATGTGAGTAGTTTTGAAAGACTTAAACTACCCCAACTTTGTTGGTCTTCGTTGCCTCTGTGTTCCAACCGTCCGTACTGCCTAACGTTATTGTTTGGTGAAAAACATGGCCATCTTGTGTTGAAGGATTTAACAAAAAACATATGAACTCGTTCTTTGTGATAGTTATCAGTTATCTCTGTGCCCACCCACCCTATAATGAAGTTCTGTAACGTAGGCTGAACGACTTCTTACAATTGTGGCCTAACGTAACGTTATATTTAGGAAACGGGGAGAAACTCCGAGGAAACTCGGGCAAATTTAATATATTTGAGTCGTTATTAAACCTGGAGTCAAAACCTTCGTGTAACCCTCAATTTAGCTTCGATGTTAGTGGTGGAGCACACCGTTTGCTCGACGCATGTAAACAGTTGTTTAAATTAAGCTGTCGATGGTTATCAATTATGACATATATCGGAAGAGACCAGTGTCACGTGACTTCTGTGACGTTACTGTGGACTCCATCACTCTGAGCGTCCGTCAACCGCTATCATTTAAACAGTACTGTCTATTAACTGCATGACCTTTCCCTTGACTTATTTTTTATTTTATACTTTTCCATCTGTCAAAAAAATCCAACACAGCAGCGGGTCTGTGCTTCTGATCTAAGCCAGAGATGACCACCGAGAAGACTGCATACGCTCCCATAGAGGGGTTTCCCACTCCACCCTCGTTTCCCGGGCAGACAGCGTTTCCTGTCACATTTGACATGAATATGCCAGGCCCAAACATGTTTGGAGCCCCTGCTCCTAGTGGTTTCATGGCTCTTGGTGGTCAACCTGCTCCTAGTGGTTTCCTGGCTCCTGGTGGTCAACCTGCTCCTGGTGGTTTCCCTGCTCCTGGTGGTTTCCTTGCTCCTGGTGGTCTACCTGCTCCTGGTGGTTTCCCTGCTCCTGGTGGTTTCTCTGCTCCTGGTGGTCTACCTGCTGCTGCTGGTGGTTTTCCTGCTCCTGGTGGTCTCCCTTTCCCTCCACCGACTGCTTTTGGAAAGGGTGTTCCTGGAGCTTTCGGAACGGCCAACCCCTCCTCCTCACCATATTCTCCACCAGGCCAGGGCTTCAATGGCAACTTCAGCGGTTAGTATGTCTAACATTGTTGCACATATATGTAAATATCTATATTTGTAATTATACATGAACATTCATAGTGTAATTTAATCAATTTGATGTTTCTGGCTGGTACCGTTGCAGATGATGTTTACCATGGCGAGGAGGACCCACCACCCTTTCATGAGAACCAAGACTTTGATTTTGGATTAGATAACAAGAGCATAAGAAGAGCCTTCATTCGAAAGGTAAGGAGCTAGTGTGGGAATGCGGCTCGGAGTATGAGGCCATCACAGGCTGCGTTGCAAATCACTGAGCAGGATTGTATTTGCATTGTATTTTTTTTAAAATATTATTATATTTATTTATTTATTCTTATCAATACAATTAAGTACTTTATTTTCTGAGATATATTTTCTACCAAATTTAATGTAAATCAAGTTTCTGACCTGCTGACTAACAAAGAAACACAACCTAAAACATAACCTCCTTTTTAAAAATGAATCATGTACTTTGTTAGAAATATTATCTGTGACCTGCTGCCCAATAATCCGCTCTTCCCTCCAGGTGTTCTTGGTGTTGACCGCTCAGCTGATGGTGACGTTTGCCTTTGTGGCTGTTTTCACCTTCGTGGATCAAGTCAAGGGTTTTGTCTTGGTGAACACCTGGACCTACTTCGTGTCATACGCCATATTCTTTGTGTCAGTTTGTGTGATCAGCTGCTGTGGAAGCGTTCGCCGAAGACATCCATGGAACCTTGTTGCGTTAGTAAGTCTGCTCAGTTTTTTTCTTCTTTTTCAAAATAAAAGATGGAGAGGGGAGGAGGTACAACCCAGGAAGTACTGTGTTAGCTTATCTGGACTATTGAATTGTAGGCCTTCTGATTTATGAATCATGCAACTGTTTTGGAAAAACAACAATGTGTTCTGATGTGGTACAGTTTTAAAAAGCTTACAATACAATATAAGACCCATTCTTAGATTCAGATTGAGCCTCACAAATCACTATTTCATGACGACAAAATGAAATGCCATTTCCTATTTTATGCCATGAAACTGCACTCCACTCAAATGTCCAATATTGCTGATGTATTTGTGTTTCTTGTTCTCAGTCGGTCCTGACTCTCAGCATGTCCTACATGGTGGGAATGATCGCCAGCTTCCATGACACTGACACAGTGGTCATGGCAGTGGGTATCACAGCAGTCGTGTGCTTCACCGTGGTCATCTTCTCCCTGCAGGTTTGTATCAGTCAGTCCTGGCCTCTTTGTATGCATGTAATGTACATTGATCATACTCTAATGTGAGCTTCATGTCTTTCTTGGCCTCCTCCAACAGACCAAATACGACTTCACTTCCTGTTACGGTGTGCTTTTCGTCTGTCTGATTGTCCTGATCATCTTCGGCATCCTCTGCATCTTCATCCGTGACAGGATTCTGCACATTGTGTATGCTGGACTGGGAGCTTTGCTCTTCACCTGTGTAAGTACTTTAGTTTGCCATTTTGAGCACAGCTCACAGCATTGAAACATTTAAAGAAAGTTCAACAGCAAGTTTTCTTTCCAGAAACTGTGTCCCATTAATCTGGAAATTTAACAAAACATGCTTTCAACACTCTTCATTTCAACTACTTTCTATCGAAGAAAAGTGTTTTTAGCCAAAGACAAATATTTGACCCATTGTGAATGTCTTCTGTTACAGTTCTTGGCGGTGGACACACAAATGCTGCTTGGCAACAAGGAACTGTCCCTGAGTCCAGAAGAATATGTCTTTGCGGCTCTCAACCTGTACACAGACATCATCAACATCTTTCTCTACCTTCTCGCCATCATTGGGAGAGCAAGGGGGGGCTAAGCAGTAGGAAAGGCAGAGAGAAATTCTGACAGGAAATTGCTTTGAGTTAAAGTCTAGAAGTGAGTTACCATTTATTTTCGTTTTGTCTTGTAGTGTGCACTGATCACATAGTTTGAGAATATTTGGCTTCACCCAGTGTAAATGTTTTTTTTTTTTTTTAAATAATATATATATATATATAGACTGTCTACATTGTAGTTTGGGGGTTTATTAAAGTTTTATCAGGTATTTGACGTGTTGTACAAAACTTTATTTGCATTTAGAAATCTTATGCCAGATGAAATTCTTAAACAGCAAAAAGATTTAACACAAAATGTTCCCAGAGCTTTCAACTGCGTCACACATTCTTCATTGTCAGACACAGACGTTGCACTTGTCGTCCATTGCACTTCAGGACTTCACGGCCAGGTTGGCTACTTTAGTGCATGAAGAACGTATTATGTGGTTAATACAACTCTGGAAGAAGGTAGTAAGTGGAACTTGAGTTGGGATCATTTTATAAAACCACTATTTCCAGGATCAAGATTAAACTTTCCTGAAGTGTTGAAAGCCCAAAACAAAGATAGTAATCAGACCCTGGGTTCTTTGTCAAACTACTATGTGTCCAACATGAAATAACACTTAATGCTATGTATAAAGTTATTTTTTAAACCTGATCTCTGTTTTTGGAGTGAAAAAAATCAAAAACAAATCCTCCGAGCACTCTGATCTGTTGTGATTTGAAATACGATTGATAATGTTAATGATTGTTGTCATTTGAAATACGATTCTTGTCAGCCACCAGAAAGTTTTCGGAGTTTAGTGTCTTAGCTGTGTAACTGGGAGCCTTAAAATGGACATAGAGCAAACCGTTGATGCCTTGGAGCTGGTGCTGGTGCTGAAGATAAATGAAGAACTCAGCCAGCTAAAGGATCAGTTTGAGAAGATGTTAATTATAAGCAAGGAAATCGGAGACCTGTTGGACGGGATGCTGAGCTCCATCACTGACACTCTGGAGGAAGTAACAGGTATTTAATGTGTTTGTCTTTGCCACTAGATGGCAGCTATAGGGTGCAGCTCAAAGTTGTCAGAGCAGTGGCAAGATTATTAGAATATTAAATTGAAAAACACAACTGTTGACCTTATTGGGCCGAGGAATTCAAATCGTCCACTCACATTAAGGGTCTGCAAAATGTTTGTGTGAAATTGTTAATATAGGCATTGCCTTATTGTACATTCTGATTACCTGTCTTTAGTCATGTATGTTACTATAATTCTATGTCCTGCTGTGAATGTTTGTGCTTGTGTGTGTATTCTATGTCTTCGTATTCTAGGTGCAGCTCCCTGGGCACCTGGATGAAGGTGTGGGTTTGAGCGCCTCCTTGCTCGGCCCTCGCTCTCTCTCACCGTCCTGGCACCAGACCATGGTCTTCAGTTGGATTTGCACATTACGTTTGTTTCGTTTCCTGTAATAAACTGTCACCCTTGGTTTTTGGATCTAACTTGGTGTTGTGTCCCTCCTTATGTTGCGACTTCCGAGCCGGTCGTAACATGTATCTTTACATATCAGTAATCATTTCATAATAATTGTAAGTTACAAAGTGCTTCGCACAAAGCAGCAAATTAAAATCAAGTAATCAAATGTGGAACTGAAAAGTAACACTAGATCAGAATGAAATACATTATTCACAGTAATATATGATAAAAAGAGAATTCAAGTAAAATCAGGAAATCAAATACTCAGGATAATTTCTCTTATGATTTATTTATTTAATGAGGATAAAACAAGTATGTACAGTCTTGAGCTGGTCAAAACATTTTAGATTGAGACAAGTGAAAAGGCCGTTGTACTAATCAGAGTGTGAGGAGGTAGAAGCATATATGGTTTCTGTGTCAACCTCCTCATCCATGGATTCAGAAGAAGTGTCCCCAGTCTCTTCTGCTTGTGTGGGCTGATAATCAGGATCCTCAATTAGGTCATCGTCATCAACAGGGTATTAAAAAGACAGGAAATCCATTAAATCTAATCGATTGAAGACAGTAAAAAGGTATATATCAAATATACTTTATGATATAAATTACAATAAAAGAGGGGAATAAAACGGAATAGAGGCATCAATTAGAAGTTGCATTATTTTGACTATGATAGTAAGTCATAAGTATGAGATAGTAAGTCGAAATTATGAGATAGTATCTCATTATTATGAGATGCTATGTCATTATTTTGACATAGTATCTCATTATAATGACTTACAGGATCTTAATTTTTTTCCTCACAGTGGCGGAAATGGGCTTCCAGACATTCAAACTGTCCAGAAGTCACTGCATACTTATCTGGCAGTATTAGAATCAAAACGTGCCTCTCGCTCGGTGACAGTAAGCTTACTAACCTGTAACAAGTCGTCTCAGGTGAGGTCACGTACCAGACACCGCCGTTGGGGCGTGGCTTAATAAAGCTTGTGTGATGAGCCGCAGAGAGCAGAGTGGGTTTACTATCAAGGGAACTACGTAACCTCACTAAAGATTTTGTTTTAACGTTGGGAAATGATGATTTCCTTTTAACACGTGACAACCTAATAAATTAATGTAGAAAAATACATAAATAGGTGTGTTGCTCGCAGTACGTTTTCATCAGACGGACTGTCCCAGTTTCCGTGCTAAGGTAAGGTATCTAGGCTGTTAGCCGAGTGTTTTAAGCTAGCTAAAGTTACGCAACGAGACAGGTTACATCTTTCATTTGTGATACCTACATTTCGTAGACTAACGTTATATTAAGCATGTATTAAATGTAAGGTGTCCTAGCCATGTGCTATAATGATACAGCAACGTCCTACAGGTATACACACACACACACGGTTATGTAGATAGGAAATTCTTCCTGAACCGTTTTCCAAGTGAAACTGTTAGCATAGCTTACCTATACACAGGCGACCCGAGTACCATAGCTGAGAGCCATCTACCTCTATGAGTGTCTATGACAGTCTATGGTGTCGACTGACGAGGCATCACTTGACAATAAATCACTACAATTGATGGGAGCCTGCATTGAATGGGGACTTTGTGTGTATAAACGGAGCCCAAAGTCTGCAATGGTAGTGAACGTCAAAGGGCAAATCCACACTAAAACAACGTTAACGTTATGGTCACTGTAAAGGGAATAGTGTCCAGACTCCTTGAAATGATGTCATTATATCACACGTTAATATATTTGATTTGAGATATTATTTCCAAAATTAAAATGTCGGTGTTAATGCTGACACACCCGATGACGTCAGACTGTAATTCATCTGTAAATACTCACAAAGGTGTGGTGTTCAGACAGGCTCATAATGCCCGTGGTTAGCAACACCACAGATGGTGACACCTGTATTATTATGGGCTGTTTGCACCGTGTTTTTCCTCTTTGCCTCCCTAAAAGATGCATTGCACGAGAGTGCAGTAAACTGGTCTGACTGCATCTGACTGTATTGCATGTCAGTGCAGCTGTCCATTGATTCCCTACAACTGCATGTACGGACATGAAGTCAATGTGAGAAGGCATTTATTCCTGAGTACACACAGTGTAAATGTTAATATGGGTTGTAAGAATAGAGCCATGTCATAACATTGTCATTTCTTTCCCCTGTCCACTAGTGTCCACTGGAGCCCATGAGAGAGACTTGGCACTGGAATGATGCTAAAACGGGAATGAGGCTAGAACGCAAGTCCCGATGTTGCTCATCCTGATTGTTGCTTAGAAAAGGAGCAAAGGCATGGCCCTGCAGGTATCTCCATTTCCTAATGGGTTTGTTGCAGGCATCCATGCTGTGGGGTGGGCATTCATCCTGCCTTGCTTCTGGTTTCTTGATCGCCTCGTTGCTTTGTGCAAGTCCACCACCCCGGAGCGAACCCAGCGATTCGAACAGGGATGCCACCTCCACCCCCTCAAGGTCTTCTTCGGCTTCATTATCTTCTTCATTCTTTTTCTCGCAACAGCCCCTTTGGGCTTCCTGGGATTTATGCTCTGGGCACCTCTCGAGGCTTGCCGCAGGCCCTTTTACTACCATAGAGAGGCGCCATCCTCACCAGAGAAGGAGACACACAGGGGCTTTGAGCTGGTAGGAAAGGCATCATTTGGATTTGCCACAGCCAACCTATGTCTGTTGCCTGACAGCCTGGCTCGTTTCAACAACCTGGGGCATACCCAGCACAGGGCGGCTGTCATTGGTCAGCACATTGTGCAGGGTGTGTGTCGACCCCATATCCGCATCTTTGTTGACTCCCCCAGCAGCTGTGGGACTCTCAGCCCCTCCAACAGCATGCTTCCCACCGTTAACTCATCTTCATATGGGGCTACTGATAAACATGCACAGCCCCCGGAGAGCCATCATTCCGATTCAGCTGAAGTGCATGTTTCAATCCCAAAGTCCAATAGTCACGTCGTCTGTGTGCCCTGTGATGACACAGAAGAGCCCTCGACTGACTCACCTTCTCCCCTTTTATATACCAATCGCAACTCCAACCAGCAGGGCCGAGCAGGTCACCGGAGTGCTCCCCGAGCTTTGCTCTCCCAGGGTCTCCGCCAACAGGACGATGTGCCCTGGGAAGTGTCGCCATTGTTTCCAGCCAATGTGGACATACTGTGTCTAGAAGAGGTGTTTGATAAGAGGGCGGCCCAGAAGCTCACCCAAGCATTGAAACCCGTGTTTGGACACATACTGTATGACGTTGGCGTGTATGCCTGCCAGCCACCATGCAGGTGTTCCTCTTTCAAGTTCTTCAACAGTGGCCTGTTCTTAGCCAGCCGGTTCCTCGTGCTTGAGGCCCAGTACCACTGCTTTCCCAACAGCCGTGGGGAAGACGCACTAGCTGCCAAGGGCCTCCTGTCTGCTAAGGTGCCTTGCTTAATATCATGTATCAAGCCTCTATCAGTTAATGCAGTTGTCATTTTTTTTGAGTTGCAGAATCCATATTAATCCCTCATGCTTTTGTCACAGTATGAACACAGTGGAAATAGATGTAATGCTTGTTTTTTTTTTTTTTTTTAGGTGCTAATCGGGCAGAATCAGAAACAGAAGAAAGTGGTTGGCTATTTTAACTGCACACATCTTCACGCACCAGAGGGCAAGTTTAATTTTCTGATTTAGACTCAAAGTTTGGTATTTTGTAGATCGGATGGTCTGTGATGGCTGGTGTGTGTTTGCTTTAATCAGGGGAAGGGGAAATTCGCTGTGAGCAGTTAAACCTGGTTACCAAGTGGATTGGGGATTTTCAAGCTGCCAACAAACTGCCCGACGAGGACGTTGCTTTTGATGTGCTCTGTGGAGATTTCAACTTTGACAACTGCTCACCTGGTGTGTCTCTGACAATTTTCTTTTTCTTTTTTTTACTGATAACCCAAAATGTTTTTGTTTGTTGTATTTATACATGTTTGTCTGTTTGTCTAGATGACGCCCTGGAACAGCATCACTGTCTGTTTGAGGAATATAGAGATCCTTGCAGGGCAGGGCCTGGAAAAGAGAAGCCCTGGGTCATTGGTGTGTACCATTTTTAAACTATTAGACTACAGCAAATACTACATACAAGACAAATACTGACAAATCATTTGGTATTTCATTGGTTTGCATCTAAAGGTACTCTGCTGGAGCAGCCCACGTTGTATGAAGATGACATAAACACCCCAGAAAATCTACAAAGGTACACTCCTTTCCATTTTCTCAAACCTCTGCACAGCACAACTACCATGACATGACCAGAACTCCTCACTCACTGTTTATTCACTGAAGCTGATCTCCGTCTTCTCTGTGTATCTGTGTAGAACTTTGGAGACAGAGGATCTGAGAAAGCAGTATGTCTCCCCTCCTGTTCCTGCAGAAGACTGCCCCTTGGATTACCCTGAGACTGGCCAGCCGTGGATCGGACGTCGGATCGACTACATCTTGTACCGCGAAAACTCCGTTTCAAAGCACTGCCGAACAGTATGTGTCCTTGTGTGTTTTTACTCTTTCCTCTACCGAGTCTTCTCCATTTTCTCCATTGCTTCTGTCTCTTTGAAGTTGCAAGTTACTTTGAGATGCCACAAATAATTCATGAAAAATGTGCATATGGCAAAACTATTGACAGTTAGTACTTGTCTTCTATAACAGCAGGTTATCCCCTAGTAAACAGCATAAAGCATCATAGACAACATGCACTCTCTTTGTGTCCATCCAGGAAGTTGAAGAGGTTTCCTTCATAACCACGCTGGCTGGCCTTACGGACCATATTCCTGTGGGCTTAAGACTGAATGTTGTTATGGACTCTGCTGATTAATGGCGACGACGTTGAAGGCAGCATCGCGTACAAACAAAGGGAACAAAATATACAAAAATGGTTGTTATGATCCATACTATTACAACAATGCTTTACTTGAATCTGTGGTTTATATGACAATGTGCTGACCAGTTTAATTATGCCTCAGGTGAAATTAATATGGATTTATTGAAACTATATAATGTTTACAATTTTATATGTAATGTCCAGTTAAGGGCAGAGGTATTGATTTTGTATAAGAAGTTATTTTTAGGATTTTTCATTCCAATATTTTTCCTACAGAAATAAATGTAAATAATTAATTTCACACCGTGTCTCTTGCTTTTTATTTTCCATCAATTAGAAGTTGCTTTATTTGACTATGCCCATCTGATGTTCTGAGGTCGCTACACTTTGTGATCGATAGAGGGTGCTCTATATTTATTTCAGGTGGGCGACCGACGAAGAAGCTGTACTTACCAATCAAAGACCAAGGACAAGAGCCACTTCCTGTTTGTAGCTTCTGATATGCGCGTGTGGACGACAGTGCTTGTGATCAGAGACGGTTCATGAAGTTATAGAGCATCGATGCAGTGATATTGTGTTATATTAGTTTAAATCATGAATATTCTCAATCGCTCTAAGAAACTGGTATCGTCGGTGTTAAGAAGTAGCGTTTTAATGCAGAAAACATTTGTTTTGAGAAACGCCTGTTCTGTTCCCAAAGCTCGTTGTCTCAATCCGTGTTTGCCTCAAAGTTTTACGGCACGTTTATCCTCATGTCGGCACAGGTATCATGTAACGTCATCCACCCAACACCTAGAAACACAAAGGCTGTACTCAGAGATGCGCGGTGACAACAGCAATTCAAAGAGGAGCACTGGCATGTCTCAGGAGGAAGGGCTGGACAGGGACAACAGTAAGTAACTAAAATGGTTAGTGGACTGATCGATAAGACCGATTACTCGGCATCTATTAATTTTTTTGGCTGATTAAGCTTTTAAGTTATTTCAAAGGAAAGTGTCAAAGAGTTAATGGTTACAGCTTGTTAAATGTGCAGATGTTTTCATTGTCTTGCATTAAAATACATTTACTAAGAGTTGATACATTTATCAATTAACGTATTGGTTTAGTTTATTGACAGAAAATGTATTGGCAAAACATTTGGTAATCAATTAAGCACGTAAGTAAGTTTTTAGGATCTTATCTTAAATCTGATGATCTGCTGCTCTTTTTTTTATTTTTACCATATATGATAGTAAACTGATTCTCTTTGTAGTTTGCACTGTTGGGACAATTTCATTGTTATTTGATTATTGACACATTATAGTTTGCAGCAACCTTAAATCTGAATGTCATTACAGTTTTGTTTGTAAAACCAAACAAAAAATAAAGATGTCACCTTTGGGAAACATTTAGTGGTGCAACAAACAATTATTTTAATTATTGATTAATCTGCGGCTTATTTTCTAGAGTATTCGATTCATAATTTTACCAACAATATGTCCTCAAGTATTTCAAAGTCCCATCACAGTCTGGGGTGATATCTTGAAATATATTATTTTGTCCAATTAGTCAGAAACCCAAAGATATTTAGTTTGCTATTATTATTATTATTATAAGAAAAGCAGAAAATCCTCCCATTTCTGAAGTTGGAACCGGTAAATGTGGCTTTTTTTAATTAAGAAAATGACTTAAAACAATTAATTGATTGTTAAAATAGTTGCTGAGTAGCTTTCTGTTGACTAATCGATGAATCGTTTCAGAGTTATAAAATGTGACGTGTGGCGTGAAGACTGAAAAATAAAGCGTTTAACCAAGAAGATAACCTGCAAAGTGGTTGCATCCTTGGTTACTGTAGTGGACGAGGTCCCTCGGTCACCCTGCATTGCTTTGATTATTGCATGTGATGACATTTCTCTTGTTTTAGCATTGAGTAAAAAAGGATACATGGCAGCATTCACATCATTTTGATTGTCAGACTAAATGTTTCACGCCTGTTTTCTCTAGGAGCCCCTGAGACTTTCACTCTTGACGTGTTGGTGTCTCTACTGCGTCAGGAAAATGCGGTGGACGTCTGTGTGATTAAAGTACCAGAGCAGATCAAATATACAGAGTACTTCATCGTTGTCAGCGGTGTATCAACGAGACACCTCCGCGCAATGGCACTTTATGCCATCAAAGTGGTAACTGACATTTGTCTTCTCATTGTCAAAGGTAATATGTGCAACCTGTTTGGTTTTAAACTCACACAATGGATGATTTTCCTCTAGTACAAGTTTCTGAAGAAAAATGGAGCTCCGAATCTCAAGATTGAAGGGAAAGATGCAGAGGATTGGATGTGTATTGACTTTGGTATGTAAAACTGATAGATCTTATCTCCTAATGTCAAATTTAGACTGTTGTTTATACAAACTGATGTTTGTCGACAGAGTTCAGTAGTGTTCACTGTCCTGCTCCTCTCTCTGTCTCAGGGAATATGGTTGTTCACTTCATGCTACCAGAGACCAGAGATGTGTATGAACTGGAGAAACTCTGGACTCTCCGCACGTATGATGAGCAGCTGAAGAACATGCCCACTGAGACGCTACCAGAAGACTTCATATATGATGTTGAAGTCACAAAGTGACAAATCATCTGAGCTGTGTGCACAGAATTAACTACTTCTTTGTGACTTTGTATGCATCCTCACCTATCCCTGTGAGTAGAAATAAAAGGTGTTTTTTTTTGTCACTTAAATTATAAAAAAGCAAATATTTTGTGTTTGAAATTGAAAGGGATTGAACAGCAATACCATAGGAATCACTGCCCCCATCATATTGATTCATCATATACACCTTTATTCAACCATTAGAGAGCATCAGGTGGTATTTGTATAATAACAGTGTACAGTATATGTTTGATACGTTTTTGACGATGCTGGAGAAAATATGTATGTTTTAAATTTAACATATTGTGGTTAAAAAATAAATTATTTTAAACCGTTCTAGATATCCTCTAAATATTTTCTTCTTGTGACTGGGTTTTTTCTCAGAAACATTTACTGCAACTGCAATAGTGAATTTGAAATGTTTATTAAACTATAAGTACTCATCGCTGGTCCTTTTTCTCTTGTTTCGTTAAAATTGACCTAAAAAATGCAGTGGCGATAGAGAATAAAGCATGACCATGAATAAAATATTCAAGAAAGTTCTGCTGAAGCACATTACTCCATGTACAGTCTCACCTGCCATATACGGTTCCTGTTTGTTGTCTGGGAAGACCAAGTTTTAGGAACATGTTTTCTAAAGAAAATGTGTTGAGTTGCCAAAACAAACTATTCCAGCAGAAGCTTTCAACCAAATAAAACCAGCTGATTGCTCCCAACAAGAAAAGAGAGGTTGTTGGCCAAAGTGTTAGTCCAGATGTGCATCCACTCAGCACTTACATGTGCAAAGAGATTGCTCAGTGAATTGGTATTTACAGGTCGGTCAGCACTTGTACAACACAAAAAGCTTCTGCAGTCTAAAACTGTGAAGTCTTCTGCAAATCATCATACTATGCTATGCTGTTCTAAAACAAATGTACTGCATGTTTTGATTCAATTATAAAACTGGATTTTTCCATAAATGTCAGAAGGAAATACACTGATGAATTAGCATTTGAAAATTAATAAGTGTAAATGTTTTTTTAGTAAGCAGATGAGCCTTTTTGTGGAGAATCAGACACACACACACACACACACACCACCATTATACCTTTTCACTTCCTAGCAAGTGACCATTCCGGTTCATTGACTTGTTTTAAGTCATGCAGGGTAAGATTATTAGCTAAATCTAAAAATGTAATGAAGCGGGAGATGCCTACACAGAGCCTGATGGGACATGGTGTTCTTCCTTGTGGTTGTCTTACTTACATGGTCTGAAGAATGACTCACAATAAAAGTGATTCTTAAATATCAGAGATTACAGCTATACCCCCCCCATCAAAAAAAAAACTAAAATACAACTATGCGGACATAAATAATCTTTCAAATATGAAAATATTAAATATTTATGGTCTACAGTCAGACTGTCTAACTATTTCAAATTGGTAATGGTGGCATGAGTGAGATTGTACAAAACCAATCAATGCAATTGTTTACTGAAATTCATTTTGTGACCTGTTTGTTTCACAAACGATTAAACCTCTGCTTTCTAGTGGATTAGCAAAATGACACAGAGGGAAAATTGAAACAAGTGAAAGAAAAAGATTAGTTCTATGTTTTTGTCTCAAAAGTGGCTACTGTGGCTAATCTTATCATTAGCTGCACAGCCATCTTACCCACTGTTGTGTAGCCATTAGTGGTAATAGTGTTAATATACTCTATAATGGAGGAGATTGAGGGAGATTAGTTATAGGACACAACAGTAGTTGAGTATCTGTCTTGCATTGTATATTTATTGCTGTAAAGCTTTATTTGCAGATATAATTCCATCAGTGTGTATGTCAACCATATGTTGCACAAAAAAGAGAAAAAAATGAATCAGAAACTATTCATTCTTCCCTGGTATGCAATTCACTGGGAATACATTTCACTTTTAGCTTCAATCCTCTGCTAAAAGCCCACCTACCCTGTTGTATTCAGTTATAGTCACTTATTCTAGTACTGCATTTGCTGTATAAAAACAAGTTAATTTTTAAGTTCTTTCATATGAGTCTGTGTCCTGCAGGTGGGTTGGAACTTGGCTGCAGTATTTCTCAGTGGAAGGTGTTTATGAGGAGAATAGACTGGTGTATTAGAGAGCACATCAACCATATTAGACATGGCACTTAAAGGGCTCTCAGAGCTTTATCCACCTGGCCCTCATTTGTTAGCGAGGTAGCAGGCAAGCTGATGTGACTAAGTATTTAAACCAGGAATTTATTATCGACCTTTTTCCATACAGCACATCCATTATTTCAGGAATAAATAAGGTGAATGGTTCTTTATCAGTGAAAACACCAGTGACAAAATGTATCAGAAAACGTAGTGTTGCATATTGTTGTAGTTCATTTCTCTACTCCTTAAGCTGCTCGTGATCGAAGGAGTCACTGGAGGAAAGGGAGAAATAATTACCACCAGGACACATCCTTCAGTCTTGACCATGTTTTATTACTTGGCTCTGCAGAAGTATTTATGTTGACAGATTTGAATTGACGTCAACAGCTTTGGAGGGATACTTGGATTTTTGTTGTCTATTTAAATGAATGTATTCAAATAAAAAAACTGTTTGCTGAATGAAATATTTCCACAAATTAAAGTATCACTCCCAAGCTGTTGACGTCAATACACATGTGTTAACATAAATACTTCTAATTATACATATATCTCTCTCTATATATAGATATAGATATAGATATAGATATAGATATCTATATCTATATCTATATCTACAGTTCTGGTCACTGTTATTGGCACCCTTGTGTTTTTTTTTGTAACCTGTACAACATCTTCAGAAATAAACAGAAATGTGATGGAGAACCCATGATCTTTGACCCAAACCAAGTTATTTTACGCTGGGTAGCACACTTCACCTTAGAATCCCTTTGTAATCCTCTGATTTCATGATTTCTACGATACAGTGAAGGTCTCCAGTACCAGAGGCAGCAAAGCAGCCCCACAACACTATCCTCCACCATGCTTAACTGTTGTTAGGCTCTTTTTTTCCTTAAAAGCTTCATTTGGTCTCAATAAACAAATCCCTGGCGTGCATTGCCAAAAAGCTTTAATTTGGTTTTGTCTTTCCACAAAACATTTGCCCAGAATAATGATGGTCTTCTTTTCAGCAGTGGCGTCTTCCTTGGCCCTTAAAACCCTTCTTGGTTTAGTGTGCGGCATATGGGCCGTGTTGAAACTATGACTCCAGATTATTCCGGGTCAGCCTTCAGCTCTTTGGATGTTTTACGTGGTGTTTTTACCACAGTTTGCACCAACCGTCTCATCGATATTCCTCTTACCCTCGAGTCCAGGGAGGGTCTTGACAGTTGCATCTTAGCAAAGGTAATAGTAATGTTGCGAACTGTTGAAACAGGAATATCAAGGTCTTTGGATATAGCCCTTTAGTTAAAGTCATGTGGGCACAGACAATTTAATACAAGTGAGTCAAATGTATGTAGTTTTTTTTCACAAATTTGAAGGTTGCCAAAATGCAGTGTCATGGCAATCTTTCAGGTTTTTATAGTTTTTTTTACTCCTATTGGTTGGTTTTACAGTTATTGTTTCATCTGCTATTCTGTACTTAACAGGAGAGTGTCCATAGACCAAAGCTGTTTCACTAGATTTGTTTAAATATATATGTATATATATACTGTAAATAAGTTATATTTTAGTTTGTATGTACTTTTCCTGCAAAGATTGTGCTGCCGCTCTGGAACAGAGTTCTCATAGGAAACGACAGCACCAATCTACTGTCAAATTTAACAAGAGTGCTCTTCAAAGAAAATCGTTACCATCAAAGTAATCTTACCATTTAGGGACTGAAAGCTTTTTGTGCCCTCTCTCAACCTGGAATTGGAAATCTATGGTTTTGAGCGATTTACTGCCATTTCTTGTATGATTTGGTGCAATTTGGAACTATGCTTCCTGTTTTGGCCAAAATGGTTCAGTTATTGTCTTAATACAACCATGTGTCAGTCAGTAGTGTTTCAAGTAGAGTTATGCCACTGTTTTGCATTCATGTAGATTGCATACATGAGATGCAATGCTAGGAGAATGCTAAATGAATAGGTTTATATTCATAAGATTTATTAATGAGTTTGAGACTTATCAATTCCCAATAAGATAACAATAACTACTTTTCTTTTTTATCCATACTTAAATGAATTAATGTTTTTATTTCCCAATGCAGACCCCTCTGTAATTCTCTATATGAACTGAAACATTATCTTCCCAAACATATTTCAACTTAATGTGAAAACAACAGACCATCATCGGCCATTTGAAGTTACACATCATCGGTTTTATTGAGACTTGTCATGCTGACTGTGACTCTCTTAAGTGGACTTTTTATATTAATCGAGGTCTGTCTCTGCTTGTGCTGCTACTTAAAAAGTTACATGTAAGAGCTTCCTAATGTAATTAATGTAGAAACAAAAATGATTAAGGATAAAATAACATAAAATAACATACATTTTAAATTGATATGAATCAATTATGTGGGCCTCTGAGAGTTTATGCACAGTTAAAGTCATTGTTTAATTTGTGGTAATTTAGGAATAATTACATTCTCCAAGCACATGTTGACTTCTGCAGTAAATTTGTAATGCAAAAAAATCATGTACACCTTCAAGTCAAATAATTAGCATTTTGATTAATCGTATTCTGTGACATCTTACATGTCTTGGTTTTTTCACAATAATGTAACTGACATTTGTTAACTGCCTTGACTCTCAGGCAGTAAAATGATGAGAGAGTCGATTTTTCTCAGGAGTACGCTAAAAGTGAATGAAATGACCCTCCCTCCTTATCCGACACACACAGTATAAAACACAGGCAGTGTAGAGAATCTGAAAGAGGAGCTTCGAAACAGCGAGAAAATCAACTACAGCAGAATTTTCAAGGGTTACATTATAATGTAAGCATTGTTTTTATTTTACACCTTTTAATTGAAAGACACTTTTTGATTGAATGTCAGTCAGTAAGATTGGATCTGGCAGCTTTGATGGTGGAGTATCAATCCAATATGGAGCTTCTACTTCAGATTTTTACATTGTGACATTGTTGAATAATCATTTTTTGTATTATGCATTTTGACTGTGATACAGGATTCACTTCAGTCCTGTGATGTCGCGGAGTATTCTGGCTCTCTGCCTCTTGGCTTGTATTGACTCTGGCATAAGCGCATATCCAGCCAAGCCTCTCGGTCCCCGGCAAGGCGCACCACCTGAAGAGCTCGCCAAATATTATTCTGCACTGAGACACTACATAAATCTCATTACAAGACAGAGGTTAGTTCTTAAATTTCTATTACATACTGTAGGTTCAAATCGTTTTTTGAAAGCACATGTAAAGAAGTATTGATATGTTGCTTGGCTCTTTTTTATGCATAGGTATGGAAAAAGAGACACCCCAGATACTGTATTTTCTGATGTGTTTATGAGGGAGAGCACAGAGAGTATTCCAGGATCAAACTACATCAGGTAAATTATTTCAAAAGGCTGCTTTTTATACATTGTGTAATGCTTTTATTTATTTATTTTTAATTTGTGTTGTCTATGTCAGATGTATGCAATATAATGTATTGTGTTGCATGATAGAACATGTGAGATGAAATACCAGAAAAGTACAAACTTCCGTACAATGTATAGTGTAATGAAATTCATCAGCCATACAATACATCTATTCCTGTGAAGCTTCAGTTTATGTCCACACTTTCATGTCATGAATGTCAATGCCATAACAGTGTTATATTTTAAGGTTATTGGTGGTTTGGGATTGGAATATTATTAATGTTTTAATACACTTTCTTCCTCTTGAATGTGAATAGGGACAGGGAAGTTAACATGAAAATGTACTAAACACTTACCTTCCTTGTCTTGTAGGTATGATGAGCTGCCACTGTGGTGACGCTGTCATATTAAGGATAACTCTGCCACAAAGCTGCTGCAATGTCTTTAACTGACATAAAATGAACTTGTGCTGCATGGAATATACATTGTGTAATGAAACTACTTTGGTCTGTAATGTTGTCATTGTTACATTAAAACATGTTATTGACATGTCGACCCATTGTCTCACTCTGGCTCATTTGGCTTGACAAACATCCAGTAGTACTACCCTGCATGTGCGGGAGTATATGTTGAACACAATATATATCAGTCACTGATGGAGTAGCAGTGCTCTCTACTGGTGAACAGGCATCTAAATATTTTGAGAATTTTTCAAGTTGGGAAAATACCTTATACTTCATGTCTGCTGCTTATGTTCATTTTGGGGAGAGTTAAATAGAAATTAGCTGTAACTTGAGGGAACCACGGTGTTGCATTTATTGCACTTGTTATATTAAACCAGCTGAGATGTACCGCTATCTTGCCTGAAAACAGATTAAGACTTTAATCCAATCAAGTGACCTGAATACATCTAAAGAGAAGCACGCAACCCTGAGAGTTTGGTTAACTCTGTTGTGACACCTGGTCCAAGCTTTATGGCTCTCTGTAACTATGCAAGCGCTGGCTCTCCCAAAGAAGCTTCTGTGCAGCTGAAACCAGATTTAGTAAATGGCATAATGCTTCATGCTGGTGGGTGGTGCAAATGAGATTATTTGTAGCCAGATGTGGGGATGGAATATCTCAGGTGCCATTAATGGCAGCAGGATCAGATCCAGTATGTTTCCTCTAGTGTTTCCTCAAAGTAAAATTCTTAAATATGTTGTCAGTAGACACTGATATGGTGCAAGATGTTTTGCCAGAGTGAGAAGAAAAATCTGTTATTACTCTCCACTCCACTACTGAATAGATTCAGTAAAACTCTCTAAATGCCCACCTGCTTTGGCACCCCTAGTGAGTGTGTGTACAGTCTACAAGCAAAAGCATCCAGAGGTAAAGTTGTTTCACATTTTATGTTTAGGGGTCATTGCATTTGGTTGGGGCAAAAAAATATTTTAAGAAACTATGGATGCAATTTACCTCCACACACCGGTATTTATTGTCGGGTAAAGTTTACAGTACAGTATATGGGTGGGCTGTGCGGGATTTCAATGAGCTAGATATAACTTGAACGGTATTGGATGTCATTAGCCCATCACAGTCTGTTTGGACGAGGAACTCAGAGAAGAGGCGCAGGCAGCCACGCTGGAAATTCACCAGCAAGTTAACTAACGTTACTACTGCGCAAGTTGGTAACTCTTAGGTAACTCTGAAATGGACAGAAGCGTGAAAGACTGACTGGGTGGCCGTGATTAAATTAGGTAACGTATCATTCATTCATTCTTACAGACACTTGCAAAACGTGGATCATCATGGGACCCTCTAGTTTCTTGACTCTCACGACCAGCTAACGTTAGCTAGCTAGAATGAGCCACATGCTATCACGGTTAGCTACTAACGTTAGCTACCGACTGGACTTTCAGCTAACTGTTCCTGACGACTATTACTAACAATAAAACGTTGACCAGCTAACTTTACTTCGCTGACTTGCTTGTTGGTTTGTGGTAACATGCCTGTATTTGTCAGTCTGAAAGATAATTGGCGCAGTCAGTGTTTGCTATGAATCATTAGCATTGCTAACTTGCCTTCACGTGAGCTACACACTAGCAATGGCTGGCACCAACTTGGTACCGGGACGGGCACTACTGTAGTAGTCGCCAATTAGGACCTGACGGCATGTAACCGTGGTTTAACGTATTCCAAACAATATCGGATCGTTTACGAATAACATGTTAGCTAAGTTACCCCACATAGGAAGTGGTTACACGTGCCCAATGCGCGTGTAACGTTAGCTTCACTGTGAATTTAAATCACCGCCGCCAACACGTTTCTTGAAGGCTGACTTTTTTTTGTTTAACTCCACTGTGAGTTACTTTAGTGTCCTTCCACGACATTAGAACAACCTCACTATTTGTGATCGCGTCTGCCTTCATGAGCACGTTCACGTCCCATCGGGCTGCTCCTCCATTCATCGACACTGGCTCCTAACTTATGAAAAGTGTGACTGTTACGTAACAACGTTACAGCACGCGATATGCTTTACTGAGGTATCTGACCTCTCAGTTCTCACAAATATCTTACAATCAGTTCAAATACAATCATCCAACCGACCCCAGTCTAATTTGTGGAAAATATATATTTTAATAGGTCTCAGCTGCTCAGTTTTTCAATGTAGTCAATGGTTTAATGTGCTATTCGTATATTTGAACACCAGCAGTAATACATGGATAGTTAGTTTGGTGATCTATACACTTTTAATCCTGTTTGAGGTTTTATGGGCGAGAATTGTAGCCTACTCCAAAATATTTATGGTTGCCAACAAGTCTGATTTGAATGTTTTTATAATGTGCCAGGCACAGTAGTTGCTTTCATTTACACCTTATGTATAACTGCAGAGCAGTAACAACTGCTGATGATGACAACAACAACAACTACTACTAGAACAATGTCAATAGTAATTCAGTGGAATCGGCCTAATAAAAGGCTTCTTTTAGTTACATTTGATCTTTTTCAATCCACAGAAGATGAGTCATACTCCCAGTCTCACTCTCTCTGAGCTGAGCTTCTTCTGACTTGGTGCTAGTTAATGAGTTTCTCTAAAAAGAGAGCGGTCATGTGATTAACTTAGCCAATCACAATGGCTGCATTTACAATACTACTAAATGAACAGGAGAAGTCTGGGCAATGAAGGCACGCCTGGGGCAGAGAGGACCTTACTTACCAGCATGAGCTGCTTTTATCACCTAGGTGGGTTTTTAGGTTGCCTTCGACTATTTCACCATATAAGTAGAATAATGTGATTTATTTTCTCTTCAGTCCAGAGTTACCAGATGAGTGTTTTGTAGAAAACGTGGGGCTCCGTGACGGAGTGCTGCACTGATGATCTGAACACAGTTTGTAGGTGAGTTTGTGCCTTTCTTGTTTCTTTTTTGGTTTTGGATGATTATCTGCTCTTTTTTGCTTTCTCTGCTCACATTGTATGGATTGAGTACAGTGTGTTGCATTTATGACGTCTATGCAGTTCACACCGTACTGTTAAATGGGACCAAGCTCAGAAAGCGCATGTTTCTGTTTGTCCACCTACCCGCTAAGGTATTTGTAGGGCTGTTTTTGCCTCACTCTGTTCGGAGGTCTTGTTTGCACAGACTTCCTCTGGGTGGCTGGCACAACCTTTAGTCAGAAGGGCAGGAGACTCATCCTTTGTCCCTCAATGACCCTCTTTGTCATTCCCGCAATTCATTATAGCGCTCTGTGCTAACATACACATGTTTTCTGTCTCATGCATCCATGCTGTGTCTGAACAGCAGCATATGTTAGTAAATGTCAGTTAAGCTTGATTCATTTCGTGTACAGTATGATGGTCTTAGTGTACAGTCTACTGACTTGTAAGTTTTTCTTCTACCTTCTCCAGCCCTCCAGTTGTCTTGGTTTCTGTAAGCAGGCAGTTGGGCGGCTTTCGTGTTCAGAGTTTCACCGTCCTGAGCTGAGGAATATTAAACATGACTGTGGCCAATGCAAAGTCTGGCAAAGGTAAGCTGTCAATACAAAGCTCAAAGACAAAGTCCTAACTAGTCTTTGGCACAGAACTGTTGTAATGGTGTGTGTGCGCAGAATTTTACATTTCATTACCATTTGAATGGAACTCTGCCCACTGTGCAGGGATAGTTGTGTGGGTGTGTTTGCAGCTGCCTCTGAACTTTCACATTTGTCCCTCTGTGACATTCAATAACCACACATAACAAAAACAAATTGCCACATGATGTACTTGCAAAGCAATGTTTTGGCTCATATAGAAACTGCATTTCTGTCTACTTCTGTTTCAATCTGAAAGAAATACGAATGGATGACTAACCCCTTTAATGGGAATGTCAGAATTGGAAAGTACAGAAATGTATTGTCTCTTCATTTGATCGAAATTATGATAATTATAATTGTTGAATTTGAAATGACTTGCTGTCAGGATTTTGGGCTTCGGTTTCTTGCTGTGTGCTCTCAGTCTACAAGGCAGATCTGTTGGTAGAACAATTCCTTTGTGACTCAGTGTGCGTGCTTGTTGTTGCTGCAGTGGAACTAAGGGATGTTCTCTGTGAATTGGCCCATTGATAGACTGTCCACTATTGTTCTTGCCTTGTAAGCTCTTATTATACTCGCATTGTTTTGTTGTTTTCATTTTTTTTCTTCACTTTAACTGGCTGTGAGCTTCGTCACTAACTTATCGGGCTGCATTCACAAAGCGGTAGCTCTCGAGCTCAAAAGAAGTTGCGATTGTGGTTAGAATTCTGTTCACCCAATCTTTGAATTTGTTTCCTTCAGCCATGCAGCAGATACTGGACAACCTGAAAGACCTGCCATCAGGCTCAGGAGCCAAAGATATTGACCTAATATTCCTCAAAGGCATCATGGAGAGCCCCATCGTCCGCTCCCTCGCAAAGGTAAAAAACACACACACACACACACACTCTCACACACATATTTGCAAAATAGTTCAAGCCGGTCTCTCTCTCTCTCTCTCTCTCTCTCTCTCCCTCTCTCTCTCTCTCTAAAACATGGTGTTTTAACAAGTATGTGTACAGCATCTTGTAATGTGCTACCGCGTGGCGGTAACTAATCTTGCCGTGTGCTCAATGTTGCGGTGTCGAGGTTTGAATTACTTATAGGGAATGTTTCCTGGCCAGTGTAAAGGTATAACTATGCTTGTCTTTTAGAAGAGAGAAACAATCATGAGATTTACCCAAAGAAGACACATCATCCTCATTTTCAGGTTCATACTTTTTTTCCCATACTATTTTGGGTTTATACTTGAACACGTTTGGATGCTTTAATGTTTGAAAAATACATTATTTTTGTCATGTTTTCCTGAATACACCTGTACTCACCCTTTTTTCTCAAGCCGTGGGTGGAGATACTGAGATGAAGGGCGGTATATGAATATATCCTTATGAGTCATGAGCCTGCATGTGACATGTGACACTCAAATCTATGTGAACAAACAAAAGTTTTTTGTGTTCCCTTTTAAAGTAATGTAAACTATTTGCTTAACCTCGAGCAGACAGAAAACATTCTCTTTTAATACCAGTTAAATCATGAAGAACAAAGGGCTTACATAACTCCAATACAGATTACGGTCACAAAGTTCAACTATCATATCTATGAACAGAATGATTTCTGTAGAAAACCTGTCACAAAGGCAAACTCTTATAACAAACGGACCTCTGCTTTCCTGCTACGTGGGCCTGTACGTAGTTTCTGGTGTAACATCATATCAAACAGAAACGCTGAATGTAGTCATAGGCACGACATTTAACCATTCATTTCATTAATAGTTTGATATAAGAGCCATTCATGTTTTCCATAAAATCACAAGAACATGGCATTTTGATGGTGCCTCACTTCTTTAATTTGACAGTTTGTGGACGCAAGAACAGCAACACTTCAAACAATATAGTGTTTTATCAGTTAAGGATTAACCATATGGGCTCTTTCCCCTGTGTTAGAAACGTACGCCTTCAGTAGCGCCACAGATTCTCAGCTGAGTACACAGAAATGTACATTAATGTTGAGATGCAAAATGACCACAAAAGTCCCTTTGCGGACCCTACTGTCAGGTGTCCATCTTATCTACCTCTATGCCCATGTGCTCACTGAGTGTAACTGGGGAAGTAGTTCAATGTGAAAGACTTTTCATATTATCTTCTACCAAATGAACACATTCCAGCCAGTGGGACGACATTCACCTTCGTATAAGGAAATAAGATTTACATGATGGTAGGATGGACAAAAATGTTGTGCCGTGAAGCAGCCAGTAAAAGTTTCTGTGTGGTGCTCTGAGCAAACAGCTTGATAAAGGGGTCTTTTTTTTTGGTGTGTGTGTGTGTGTGTGTGTGTGTGTGTGTGTGTAGGCCCATGAGCGTCTTGAAGAAGTTAAGTTAAAAGCTGTGCGGGACGATAATGTTCAGCTGGTCACAGAGATCCTGGATTCCCTCAACAACCTGCCAGAAAAAGATTCTACCGCTGCTGAGCTTGTCAAAATCCTTCAGGAGCCGCACTTTAAGGTATCTTTGACCTCATTCCTCTTGTACACAATTTCTAATGGGAGTGAATGGACCAGAGACTTGTTCGAGTGAACGGTCTAGCTTGTGTGGGGATGGATGTCAGAGCATGTTACACCAACCACTGGTTAATATTCTCTGAAGCAGCTCTCCTATATTGAGAATATAAAGGGCGACAAGGAGTCGCCCTTTATATTCTCAATCACTTACAAGCTGCGGCGTGGGGGGGTGGGGGTGTACTTCCTTGGGCCAATAGCAGGCTGAGTTATGTGGGTAAAGTCAGGGGGAGAAGACTGTCATGTACCGTTTCAGTAAATCTACACATTTGCTGATGCAGTTTGTAGTCTCTGAACAATGCTAACTCTATGTTGTGGCTGCTAGGGTAAGAACCAGACTGATTTATCGTCTCTATTTTATCAATTTGTCGATGCGGATCAAATGCAAGTTGCAGTAGCAATCACTGTTAAGAGTTTAAGAGCACATAGTAGTGCTGATTGTTGTCTTTCTTAGTGAGCAAAGGGTGTAAATGTACTTTGTACAGAGATTGTGAACCATACTTTTATTGCCGTCTGTACTTCTCTTTCCCGTTCTTCTTTGTTCTACCTCAGTCTTTGATAGAGGCTCATGATAAAGTGTCTGCAAAGTGCTATGAAATGCCCCACACTGCGGCGAACAGCAACGCCTTGTTGACGGGTTCACTCATGCCAGCTGATGCTGTGAGGATGATTGGCATCCAGAAGAAAGCCGGGGAACTGCTGGTAAGTTAGCCAGGCATTTAAATCACCCACAGCTCTGCAGAGGAAACGTGTTCACTGTGTTATTCATGTCCTCTTTTATTGACCATTTGCTGAATAGTCTGACTTAGTTTACACAGTATCTCGACATGAGTTCCTTCTTTCACAGCGACCATGCCATGAAAAAAGATCTCCGGCATGATTTATGAAGTGCGAATGTATGCTACTAAACGACTCTTTCAGGGGATGACATTCCGCGTGGAGCGGGGAGAGATGGTGATCGCACGGATCCTGCACGGCAGCTCGATTGACCGGCAGGGCATGCTGAACACGGGAGACATAATCCGCGAAGTGAATGGCCGCGAGGTCGGTGAGAGTCCTCGTGAACTCCAGGAGCTGTTGGGGGACTGCAGTGGGAGCGTCACACTCAAGGTTCTGCCCAGCTACAGAGACACACCGGCACCTCCACAGGTGGGTGAGGAAAAAGGAGACTGCATTTGATATTTTCCTGCCCAGTGATTCACCTGTGGGATACAAAAAATTCTGTGACAAAACTGAATTGAATACTCTGTTAAACTAGCTTGATATCTTGAAACCAGCGTGTTAAGTTCATGAGAATACAGGATGTGTAAGTCCCGGTGTGCCAAGTGTACAAGGCTGTCATACTGTACCTTTCAGAGATTGGGGGAGAGCTGCCTGACCTGGGTGATCTCAGAATGCCAGGCTTCTGAAAATTGAGCCCAATGACGGTCTATTAATAACACTTCTCACACTATCTGTGACACACACACACTACTCTGTTCACTGGAGTACCCCCTCCGCTTCTTCAAGTAACGAGTACTCGCAACAGCTGACGCAGAGGAGCAGTGCGTAGGGTTATGTCAGACACTGACCTTTGTGCCAGGGATGACCGAATGATCTAATTCTACTGTTTGGTTATGTGCTTGCTGGGTTTCAGTTATGGTAACAGTTGTGAATAAGAAGACTAATTGAATATAATGAGTGTAGGAAAAAAGGAAGTTTTTTTTTGATTTGATTGTCTGATATCTCGTTAACATGTTGTAGGTTTATCTGAAGCCCCACTTCAACTATAATCCGGCCACGGACAACCTGATCCCCTGTAAAGAGGCAGGCCTGGTCTTTTCCAAGGGAGACATCCTTCATGTAGTCAACAGGGAGGACTCCAACTGGTGGCAGGTGAGAAGATCTAGTCCTAACAAAGCCAGTGCTGCTTCGACCAGACAAGTGAGGTGGAATTTACTTTGGAAAGCTGCAAGACGCTGCCAAAGATGAGGAGAAGATGTTGGCGACAGATACTTAGACATGATAGCTTTTACTATGTGAAATATTGAATCTCTTTACTGGTCCAATTTCTGATTAGGCGCGCAAAGTCGTTGGTGGAGCGACTGGTCTCATCCCCAGTCAGTTGTTGGAGGAGAAGAGGAAAGCTTTTGTGAGAAGAGACTGGGATACTTCTGGTACAGGTTAGTTCAAATCATGCCAACTCATTCACACCACGCTCCCTGCTTCTCCTTCACGTTATCATGATAGTCAGAAAAGACTTGGCTTTAGCACCACCATGTGGTGATCAAAAACTTTCTCTAAATTGATTTCAGGGATGATCTGTGGAACCGCGAAGAAAAAGAAGAAAAAAATGATGTACCTCACTTCAAAGAATGCAGGTGTGCATCACCACTGGATCTTATTTTTGTACATACAAGAAGTGTTGTGAAAGGTTTGCATTGGGAAACTGTAAGTGCTTCGACAAGGTTATGGTACTCATCCAGCCTGTGAATTGCCCTGAACAGAGTTTGACCGATATGAGCTGCAGATCTATGAGGAAGTAGCCAAGATGCCACCGTTTCAGAGGAAAACGCTGGTTGTGATTGGAGCCCAGGGAGTTGGGAGGCGGAGCCTGAAGAACAGACTAATCGTCATGAACCCTCTGCGATATGGAACCACTGTACCCTGTGAGTGAGTGAGACGGGCAGCCGAGGCAGTTGAATTGTCTTCGACTAGATTTGCTGCCAGGGTACATGTAACACCATCTGCTCACCTTTTCATCTCCAGTCACGTCACGACATCCGAGGGAAGAGGAGAGAGACGGCCAGAACTACTGCTTTGTGACGCGAGAAGAGATGGAGAAGGACATCAGGGAGAACCGTTATCTGGAGCATGGCGAGTATGATGCCAACCTTTATGGCACCAAGATCGACTCCATCCATGAAGTGGTGGATGCCAGCCGTACCTGCATCCTGGACGTCAACCCTCAGGTTAGTCAAAGGCACACCCTTCCAATGTTGTAGATCTTTCTTTCCCCTGAATCTTTGGTTGTGACATTATATTTTCTGCCCAGGCCCTGAAAGTGTTGAAGACTGCTGAGTTTATGCCATTTGTGGTGTTTATTGCTGCTCCTGAACTGGATACACTAAGAGCCATGCACAAAGCTGTGATAGATGCTGGACTTACTACCAAACTACTCACGGTAGGTTTTTGAGAGCATTGAAGGTTCCTAAATACTTATGATGATGGACCCTTCAGGGGTTATTACTCATCATCCTAATGGGCTGAATCTCTCTCCGTAACAGGAGAACGATTTGAAGAAGACTGTGGACGAGAGTGCCAGGATCCGTCGGGCATATAGCCACTACTTTGACCTGACTATTGTCAATGACAATCTGGACAAGGCCTTTGACAAACTGCAAGAGGTGGTAGAGCGATTATTCATAGAGCCCCAGTGGGTTCCAGTCAGCTGGGTCTACTGATGTTTTACAACCTACTGGACAGACATTGCTGTTCGAGCTGCTAGGCTTGGGATGAAAGGGGACACCTTAAGGGACGGAGAATTTAACACCGCAGCCACGGACATGTCAGACCTGTGTGAATATGGGTCTTGCGCAAAGCTGTATCGGAGCCACCTTTTCTGAATAGCCAGATTCCTTTCTAGCTCTCTATGCAACTTCCAATGCACAGGAAGTGTACTTATTTATTGGCAATTTCTTTTTAAAGAATCCTTTCTATTCTTGTGGATTGGGAGACAAAATACTGGCTCTTGTGTCAGGATATTTTAAAAGCAAATGCAATTTTTTGTCATGTCCTGTTTTTAATTCTTCTGCTCTGTATGTAAAATAGGTAAAGTGTATTTATTTTGCTAAAAATGAGGAGAGCTTGCTCATTGAAAAGAACGATACCTCAGTGTTACAGTTTACAGTGTCTCCAGTCTCCAGTATGTCATCTCATTTTGTCACTACAAACTTGTCATACATGTAGAATGGTATCTTACTTTTGAGACCTTTCTTCTTCCTCAAGGCTGCATTTCTGCTCTGCCGTCTGTGCAGTTCAAACTCATACATGGAAAATGTCATGCGAGTCACTGTTTTTTGTACAGAAGAAAAATGAATTCTGTAGCGTTACCCCATTGTTTCTTTCACTCAAGCACAACAGATTACATTAATTATGTTGATTGTTTGTCAGACATTTAGATCACGTAAGTATTTCTGACTGTTAGACCCGTCAATATGGTGCTGTCTTTGTTTAAAAGAAACTTTCCACAGAACTCTTGAACAGGGTACTTCAATCTCAGTGAATCATCCCTTTTGATGTGATATTACTAAAACTTAACCGTTTTAAATAAAGTTCATATTTACTTATAAAAGGTATATTTTACAAGAATTCAGAAAAGTCGTATTTTCAGATGTCAAATAAATAACTGTTTTCTAATAATCCACATTGGTTTTGCTTTGCTCCTTTGGTGGAATTACTTGACAAACGTGTTCACCAACTGGAGGAGAAGATATTTAACCGTCTGAGGTGATGTATTTTTATGGCCAGTCTGCTCTGATTAGATTTTGGTGGTCAAAGGTTAAGGTCACTGTGAACTCACGTCAGACCCATTTTAGTGAACGTGACATTTCAGGAACACCTTGAGCACATTTCCTCAAATATGGCACGAACATCCACTTGCACTCAAGGTTGAAGTGATCAGAATTTGGTCGTCAAAGGTCATTGTGACCACACATAACATGTTCATCTATATATATATATCTATATATCTATATCTATATCTATCTATATCTATCTATATATCTATATCTATATCTAATCTATATATATATCTATATCTAATCTATAAATCTATA